TTAAGTTTGGTTTAATGTTCGCTTAGCTTTTGTCCCGTCTTGGTCTGTGAAGCTGTTCGTGTCTGTCTGGATTTAAGACTGGGAAGTAATTATCCCTAGATATTAGTATAGATTTAGTATTTATGCTCTTTATGACTCTACTTTAAATGCAAAAGTAATTAGGATACTGATACTGTAAGAACTACTCTCGTGGAGTGATTTATAGTGAAAAGAACAAAAGTATTTGTTTAAAACAATGTTATCATTATTAACTTTATCATTGTATTTAGATTCGAGATAAAGTAAGGTTGATTGAATGATATTAGAAAAGCCAAGAAGTCACATTCAAAGTGATAAATTGTTTAGACATATTATTTAAAATAATTAATATATGTAATAATGTAGGATTGTAATGGTGAAAGAATTTTTCAAATCGGTCCAGTAGTTTCGGAACCTACTTATCCAATACAAACAAACTAACAATTAAATTTTTTCACTTTAGTTGAGTGCAAATGAGTCTACTTTAAGGTAGAGTCGTAAAAAACTCGAGTCAGTCTTGATTTCGAGACTTGAGTCTATTTTCAAAACTCGGACTTGTTAGTCACATGAGTCCAAGTCCTTTGAGTCTTCTGAGTCCTTTTGATCCTTTTCAAGTTCTTTGAGCTAGACTGAGTCTTCAAAAATAGCTCAAGTTTTATTAAATAAGACTCCAAGATTCGAGTTTCTTTCAACATTGTTGTTGTAAAAACGAAGCCATTTGTTTTAGTAAAGTTTGCGATGCAGTCAGGTCATCTTGCACTTCCATGTTTATCACGCCTATAAGGACAAAGTAAAATACATTTTTCCTCTTAAGGGGGTGCAGCGCCGGCGAAAAATTACGATTTGCTAGCCGAGATAGCGGTGGCGCAACGAACTAACACGACCGCACACAAACTACTTTACAGAGTAGAGACAAAAGAGACTCAATACAGAGTAAAAACACGTATTTCACTAATTTTGCGAAACAAAACTTGAGTTTATAATACTTTAATTAGGAAAAAGGAAGGATTTGATTTTTTGTTTGTATTGCTGCGAAAATTCTTATACAATAAAAATCCTAACTAATATTGATTCTTCTGATGAACAAAGGCTTTAAAAAAGTTTCGTAAAAGAGTATTTTTCGTAGACGTTCAATTCAAATAGGCTGTTAACGTAGCGTCCTTCCATTCTATACATGGCCAGAACGCAAGGGTGTGAAACTAATCGAGTATAGTTTGGAAATAACTTTTTTTTACTAAACTCTTCCAAACTGTTTGAGCAGTTACGCAAATACCGCGTACCTACTAATCTAAATAAAAATGTTATCGATTTATTTATTTAATCCTACCTAATCAGTTTATTTTGAAAAACCACTTACCCGCAAGAGTGTTAAAAATCTAGTTTTATATTGATTCGATAAAATATATTTAAGTAAAAAGAAATAAAAATACTCTTAAATGTAATTCCATATTTTACTGAATAAGTATCAAACTAACTTTTTCACACTCTTGTCAAGTGTAAGTGGTGTAGTATAGTGTGAAACGGAGAAGCGAGCATCCACAATAAAAATTTAACACGACTGTATTCATTACGCAAAATTCGTGTATACTTTGTACTGTAGTCGCAGATTTACGAAGATTACAAAATATACACGAGCAGTTTCCTACGGCTGCTTCTACCCATGTATACAGGGTGTGGTTTTGTGAAACAACGCCCATCTCTGGAGTGATAGTACACCTGAAAGTTTATTGCAAGAAAAATATAAATAAAATTTTAACTTATTACTTTATTTCTAAAGAACCTCGGGCTGGAAGACGTAGCGTGGGCAGGCCTCCTACTAGGTGGACCGACGATCTGGTAAAGGTCGCGGGAAGAGCCTGGATGCGGGCAGCGCAGGACCGTTCATTGTGGAAAACCTTGGGGGAGGCCTTTGTCCAGCAGTGGACGTCATTTGGCTGAAACGAACGAACGAACGAAAGAACCTCGTTCAAAAGTCTCTTTAAACTTTCGAGACGGCGCTTCCTACCGGTCACGGTAATATTAAACTTCTCTTTTCTTTTCTCACTTCGCTTATTGTTTTGCGTTACTCATTTAGCATACTTTCTTTATACAGTGTGAGTCACGATAAAGTACTCATATGAAAATAGGTGAAACTAAACCTATATTTATTGACAAAAAAGAGGTCAAAAATGTTTAGAGGGGTTTTTTTTATATAGAATTTTTTTCCTTCCGATTACTTATTGTAAAGAAAACGTAATAACTTTTACACTAAGAGGTATATCCTGATAAAATAAAAACAGTAATAATGCTAAATAACAGGCGATACTAAAAAAATACATATAATACTCAGGAAAAGACAACAAAATAATAATAAAAAAATGATACTTTTTGAAAAATATCTGCTTTTAAATTCATGTACTTTTGGTTATTTGATAAATTTCTCCAAAAAATGCCACTATAACAGGTAGTTTTTATTACTTCATGTTATTTTCTATCGTATTACCTTTGTAAAACCAAAAATCGCATGTCTCTATCCCTATCACAACATTTGCTATGATCGTTTGAGGAGAAATGAGAACCAAAGCGGGCGTGGCACATAGCTCGTACAGCTGATAGCCGCTGGCGCAGGAATGTTCTTGAGCGGCGACCTCTTTCGGCTGAAACTAACGAACGGCNTTTTTTTTTTTTTTTTTTTTTTTTTAAATTCCTGCCCAATATTACATGGTAACTGTTTTTGGTAGATGGAACAGTCTGATTTTCGATCTGTAGCATTTTCAATCAATAGTTTATTCAGTCAGAGTTTCCTAGAAACATTTTCTGTAATCTGGAAATACAAATTCGACCGACATTTTTATCTAGCCTAGTATCCCTCAAGAAGTTATCTAGGCTACTACAATCTTGTCAAACATTCTACATTTGTTCAGCGATTTAGAAAAATACCAGAGAGTGTCTCTTTATGACTTACTTATCTGTCGGATTTGCAAGCCTACTTTTTGCAAAACCAAACAGTGTGTTCATAATTTCTGTCGCTTGTTTCCTACCTTGACCGACGAATATACCTGCGACCTGTTTTACCACCTTTGTTGCAACAACAATCAATCGTTTTGTATCGGGGCATTGACCTCTAACTGTATTGTTGCATAAGTATTGTTTTGCCGCCAATTACGACTGTCATAATTACCACCTCATTCGCTTTCGACAATGGCCCCCTTCGCGATTTACAATGCCTGAGGATAATTAAGTTTGGTTTAATGTTCGCTTAGCTTTTGTCCCGTCTTGGTCTGTTCGTGTCTGTCTGGATTTAAGACTGGGAAGTAATTATCCCAAGAAATTAGTAAAGATTTAGTATTTATGCTGTTTATGACTCTACTTTAAATGCAAAAGTTTAGGATTTATTTGTAGCTATCACAGAAAATTGATTGATTTATTTTTCTGTAAGAACTACTCTCACTAAGGAAAGGAGTGATTTATAGTAAAAAGAACAGTAGTATTTGTTTATAACAATGTTATCATTATTAACTTTATCATTGTATTTAGATTCGAGATAAAGTAAGGTTGATTGAATGATATTAGAAAAGCCAAGAAGTCACATTCAAACTGATAAATTGTTTAAACATATTATTTAAATTAATTAATATAATAATGTAGGATTGTAATGGTGAAAGAATTTTTCAAATCGGTCCAGTAGTTTCGGAACCTACTTATCCAATACAAACAAACTAACAATTACATTTTTTCTCTTAAGTTAAGTGCAAATGAGTCTCCTATAGGTAGAGTTGTAAAAAACTCGAGTCAGTCTTGATTTCGAGACTTGAGTCTATTTTCAAAACTCGGACTTGTTAGTCACATGAGTCCAAGTCCTTTAAGTCTTCTGAGTCCTTTTGATCCTTTTAAGTGCTTTGAGCTAGACTGAGTCTTCAAAAATAGCTCAAGTTTTATTAAATAAGACTCCAAGATTCGAGTTTCTTTCAACATTAACTATAGGTTCATAAACCATGTCACATAGTTAATGTAAAAACCAAGCCATTTGTTTTAGTAAAGTTTGCGATGCAGTCAGGTCATTCTGCACTTCCATGTTTTTTACGCCTATAAGGACAAAGTAAAATACATTTTTCCTCTTAACTGTACACACGACAAAACAAGCTGTCCAGTTTCCTCACAGATATCCTTTTTAGGTATTCCATTTCTAGGTCAATTGAAGAAATTATCAAACATATTGTTTGCTGCGCGTGCGCACAGGTATGCAAATGAAACGAATCGATTAACTGTGGATGGTAGCAGCCTTGTTGAATAGAAACTAGAATAATCGATAAATATACAAATGCAGTATTTATCGTTTTAACACAATCCTAACTATGGAATATTATTATACTTAGGTATTATAGTTTATTATTTTTGATCTTCTATCGAGTGGGTCGTAAACTTGAAATGATCACTGATGTTACAACCATCTGGTGTTGTGAAAATCCTTGGGGGAGGCGTCATAAATGACGTCCACTGCTGGACAAAGACCTCCCCTTTGTCCAGCATCCATTATTGCAATCCTAGATGCTACTAAAGAGAAAAAGGTGGTCTTGTATGTATAGAAAAATATTTTTCATTGGTTTTGAACCTTATATTATCTCACTAAAGTTCAAAATATGGTGCCGTTCTGCCACAACCAGATAAAGCTTTAAGCCGGAAGACCGCAAGATAACGAACTATTCTAGTGCACCAGTAAATCAAGAGGTGCCAATAGCGCTCCTTATCTGTTTCTTAATTTAGACTTGTTACACATCACATCCTTCGGAATTTGAACTGCTCTTTCCTGTTAGTTTGTCTATTGGGAACGCACTCGTCATTTGCTTTAGAGGATATTGTATTTTATTCTAATACATCATAGGTATTCTTAGTTGATACCCGGCCACAATGGGACAACAGTCAGTGTGTTTGCATTGGACTTGCTATGGTTTTCCTTAATTATATCATGTATAAAATATAACAAGGTTGTCCGTTTGTTTCAGTTCCGTCCGCACCTCAGAATCTGGCTGTCAACGTCGTGACGTCAACCGAGATCCACCTATCATGGGCCCCGCCTGCCCACCGCCACGCTCTGCCCGCCCCAGAGAAGAAACCCACCAATCCCGACCCAGAATTCGCCGTCCTCCCAAAAAAGAAGATCGAGCACCAATCAGATGCGCCCGTCAATGACGTCATAGCCCCCAACGACCAACAAGACACCGCGGAAAAGTTAAAAGAATTCGAATACGCAACGTACAACTTGTACAAAAACGACAAACCGAAGTACAACGATGACTATTCAACGTCTGATATGATGATGAATTCGTACAGGAAGAAAAGAGAGGGACGCTCTCACAGGCACAGAAAGAGACGGCAGGAGAACGGCACGGATCCTAAAAGCTTGGAGTTTGAGAGTACAGGGGATGTGGAAACACACCAAGCCCTGGAGATAGGGAATTCGATTGATATGGTGAAGAAATCTTATACTCCGACTAGGACACACGTCGACGCCAGCCAGATTGCGTATGTTCTCTACTATGAACAAGGAATTCCTAGGTTCGATATAACCACAGTGAATTCAGTACAGAGTTCTTCGGACGTGAAGAATAACAATGTGTTCTCCAGTGACCTTGGAATGGAGGAATATTCCAGGTCGACGAAGAATCTGACCCTCGTCAATAAGTCTGGGAAGAATACCAACGTTGTCGGATTCAGGTTGAAGAATCTGAGTAAGTAATAATAATATATTTTTCTTGTATCATTCATCACCATCATCATTTCAGCAATAGGAAGTCCACTGCTGAACATAGGCCTCGACCCAATGTTTGCCACAATGGCCGGTTAATGGCGACCTGCATCCAGCGCCTTTCTGCTACCTTTATGAGATCGTCGGTCCACATTGTATACCAATATTTATTGATATTACTTCTTCATTAAGTAATTTAATGATACTGGCTGTAAAATGTGACCAAAAACAGGAGACGACATTCTTTTGTGACAGCTTCCTAGTGCTTAGACTTTTCTGATAAGTTTTAACATTGGAAGTTACATTAAAATCCGCAATTATTGCACGAAATAACAAACAATAATCACCGTTCTCACAAAATTTCTTATTAATAATCTTGTTCTAATTCCAGAGCCCTTCACCCCATACAAGATCTGGGTGCGCGCGTTCTTCAAGTTTCCGCTAGATGGCGTGATGTCTTCGGACTTACTGGAGCGACTCAGCAACAAGTCGGAGCCGGTCTACGCGCTGACTGACGTCATGCCGCCTTCCGCGCCCAAGATCCTCAACCTGACCTGTGACATGCCTAAACGTAAGTGTCAATAAACCGACACAGAGGTGTCAGGTTCGATTCCCATGGGAGCAGATTTTTTTGTGGTACGGATTTTTCTAAGTCCGCCTGGATAGCTACCACCATCTCACAAAATTCTGTCGTTAGTTTTTTGGCAGTAAAATTCGTTTACCATAAAACGTATGTCAATTGACTAAGTTGTCTGTCCACACACAGGGTGTTTTTATTGCATTATGCTTAGCTAGCTGACAATGTACAACAAGCACACCTTGTTTTCTTAAGTACTTGAGAATTCGTAAGTACTTACTAAATACGTCAGAATAAAACAAGTGCACGTTAACTGCCACAACATTATCTAAAACGTGACTAAACTTCATGAAGCCAATTTTATAATAATAAAAAATTTGGAATATCGACAAGGTATACATTGTGCCACTGGTGCTCTCCAGCACTGGGATCATACCCAGACACCTACTTAGTGCCCTCCGCAACCTAGACATTCAGGAAAATATTTACATGACAATGCAGAAAGCCGCTATCCTTAACACGTGCCGCATAGTTCGGAAGTTCTTGCAGGACGACAACATCCAAAACTCCAATCCAGCAAACGCAGCTCACTTGGCCTAGGCCCGTGAGTCAGCCGTCAACACTGGAGAAATTTTCTTTCTTCGAGGTTTAATAAAACTTAACAATAAATAATAATAATAATAAATCTTTGGACAATTTCACACAGCGCCAGCTAGCCCCAAAGTAAGCAACTTAATGCTTGTGTTATGGGTGCTAGCTTAACGGAAAAGCTTTTAAAAGCCTTGACCTTCACTGGTTAGGTCTTTATTGGCGGTCAAGCTGTAAATCAGGAGTTGCAGCGTTGGGAACGAGAGGGTGGAATAGTCCCGTTTTAAATGCCTTCTCCAGCAATGTAGAAATCATTGAGGGAGGCTTATGTTCAGCAGTTGACGTCCTGTGGCTGAAATTATGATAATAATGAAATTACTTCTCTATGGTAAAGAACATATTAATCTTTGGGGAGGCCTATGTTCAGCAGTGGACGTCCTTTTGCTGAAATGATGATGATGAAATGCCTTCTCTATAGTGAAGAAATCATCAAAATATTGAGTACAGTTCCCTTCTTGGCAGGCACGTTGTACCTCCAGTGGCGTCAGCCGACGGAATACAACAATACCTTAGACCAGTACGTGGTGACGCTGCGGAAGATTCCAGAACTGCAGCCGCGGACTCGGCTCACTCTGCCGACTAATAAGAACGACATTGAGACGACTATCAGTGTGGTAAGTTATGTTTACAAAATAATTTATCCTTAATCCTTACAATTTTAAAAACAAAATGCATATGAAGAATCAAGCTTCAACGCTTTTACACCTGGGCAAACACATTCTAAGCCCACAGAATGTAAAATATCGCCACCCAAAAAATACTGCACTACCTAATGGATGCAGGACTCGTAGGCGAACTGTAAGGAAAACAGTGACGATCACAATAGACCGATACCGCAGTGGTACTGGGACTTTACAAAACCAGATTAGCAGCTCAACAAAAATAAAAAATTAAAAATCAAGCTTCAAATGTGCAAGAAGACAATTAGGCCCAGTTTCTACCAAAGCGGAGAGGAGGGATGTGTTCGAATAACTAACCAGATTTCGTTATTTCCATATCACCTCTCTCTCCTCACATTCGGTTCGGAAATCCCATTGGTTGTTCTACAGCTCCTCTTCTGTCCGCTTTCAAATTAAATATTTCTAGCTTCCATTTGATAGAGCTTGCAAATCACTTTCTGGATCAGTAACTAGTTTTCCGATATCGTCTATAGTTTAGAAATAATCGTGTGAGATCACTTATCTTATCGTTTCCACCTTGTATAGTATTTCTTGGAATACAAAGTATACATACGTGCTTGCGTGCGTTATTATTATTACCTTAAAGCTATTCCCATAGTGACTTGCTTGCGTAGCGCCCTCACACATATCCCAAACAGGAAACGTAGAATATTATTATTTAAGAGGATAATTCAATGTTTAATATTTACGCAATACTAAAATAGCATTATTTGCATCAGAACATTATTCTGTTAAGGCGTTATACTAGACCAGTAGATCACACTAATGTATCAACTCTAGGCCCCGGGTCAGTGTGTATTTGTTTTTATCGATTTTGGACGATAAGCTCATGCATTTGTCGTTTAAAATCGTCGATAAGATTTTATCATGGCATCCTAGTGCGGTTGATCTGAGGAAGGATTATTTTATCTTCTAGGAAGTGGAATTGTGGAACGTGACGCGATATGAAGTAAAGATCTACGCGGTAACGCAGTCGGTGGCTCGCGCTAACGCTCTGATCAACGGCTCCGAATCTCCGCCCGAGGTAAGCTATTTTATTATATTATTGCTTATTATGAAGCCTCTGTTTCTGCAATTTATTACACCGATCTTGTCGCGACAAGGAAAAATTTCCGTGCTTTTAAGCGGTTTTGTGAAACATATTTTCAGGCAGCTAATTGCTCATAAGATAGGCCCCTTTAATTGATATTTATTGTCCGTGGTGAGTATCTTTTCTTAATGGTTATTAAACCTTTGTTTGTCACCTGTAATCCGCTTTGCAATGGAGGGAAGTCAAACCTTAACTTCGAACTCCTCCTATGTTCTTCTGATTAATTTTGTTGCGGGTCCAATGACAGTTTAACTTTCCCCCGGGACAAACTTGACCTTCATTGGTTGGGTTTTTATGGCGGGCAAGCTGTAGATCCTGGTTACACAGGAGTTGCAGCGGTGGAAATAGTCCCGTTATTAAGAAGACAAAAACGAATAGTTATAATAGTTTGTTTGATCAGGAAAGTGTGATCTGTAATCTATCTTTAATAAGTAATTACAATAACATCCTGTAACAGTATAGTAAATAACAATATAGTTAATTAATAGTAAAATTAAATTATTTGCAATTATTTTATTTTCAATTAAAGTTACTATTAGTTTGAATCGATCGGTAAGAATATTGCTATCCTATTTTAAACTTGAATGATTTAATGTGATATGCATGAACTTAAGAAAATTCGCTGAGTTATGTGGAGGGTGGCAATTACTCCCGATGAATGAGCTACTGAGCTTAAATTGCTTAAAAATCTAACTACAATTATTATCTTGGTATACTTCTTAAAGCGGTCCTGGGTGTGTTTATTTTGCCGCATATTTATGTGTTACATTTGTGCAGGAGGTGTCCAGTGAATGGTGCGCCGCCCACTCTGAAGCGATGTCGCCTGGAAACGCCCCAGTGGCATCAGGGGGCGTCCACACCGCCGCGCTGTTTGCTATTGCTCCCATCGCGTTACTAGCTGCTGTTGGAGTCGCCTTAGTTTATTGGAGGTATGGTATCAGACTATACAGGGTGTCTAGTATAAGGGTGGCCACCAAACAACGCCTCCGTGGCGTTAGGAGGCGTTCAAACTGCAGTGATGTTTGCTTTCGCGCCTATAGCCTTACTGGTTGCTGTCGGAGTTGCCTTAGTGTATTGGAGGTATGTCACTGGACTATACAGGGTGTTTAGTGTCAGGGAGGCCACTAAGTAACGCCCCATTAGCGTCAGGGAGGGTTCACAGTGCGGTGCTGTTTGTAATCGCGCCCATAGCGTTACTAGCTGCTGTTGGGGTCGCCTTGGTTTACTGGAGGTATGTCAACAAAATATACAGGGTGTTTAACGCAAAGGAGGCCAACAAACAACGCCGCCGTGGCGTTAGGAGGCGTTCAAACTGCAGTGCTGTTTGCTATCGCGCCCATAGCGTTACTAGCTGCTGTAGGGCTCGCCTTGGGGTATTGGAGGTATGCCATCAACCATATACAGGGTGTGTACTGTACGGGAGGCCATTGTTTGAAGCTCTGGAGCTTACGTGTTCACTCATACGACATGAATCAAGCATCTAATGTCACATTTTATTGGTAGAAATTGGTATTTCAATGATCTTTGTTTTGCAACATAAGCCAAATAAGAAACATTTTACTAAATTGCGGTTTTATAATCGGTTTATTGTTGTCCTTTTAGATGCAGGTCCCGCCTCAGCAAATGCGTGAGCGCAGTATACAACTATTTGGAGGAGGGCGGCGAGAGAGCGGCGCGGGCGCCTCTCAACGCGTACAAGAAGCCAGGTAACATTTCATTTACTTAAAATGAGATTATTATTAATTGAATATTATTTAATGTGTACTTCTGCGAGGTTGTAGTTGTAGTAGTAAATCTAACAACTATATTTATTTATTATTCATTATTGAGCAATTACATATTTGATCCAAATAGCGTCCTAAATCCTTTTTAGGTTTGTCTAGACACTATTGTTCTCTATACAAATAAAAACAAACGTAATATTATCGTGTTAATGTGATAATTAAAATATGGTCATTATTTTGACACATTAGATACCCGATGTCGTTATGATATAATTTGCTAAAAGCTTTTTTTTATTTTATTTTATCTTATTTTTTTTCCTACTGTCTTCACAGCATACAGTTAAAGTTACTGTGACATCTATTCCACTGTTAAAGTTAGACAATACTGAAGCAGGGTGCTACTATTCTTCTTCTTTTCGTGTCGACAACAAACCTACACAGTGTCAGCCCAAAACTCCGCCACAAGAATGGCGTTGTCAGTAGCACTCATCAAATCCTCCTGAGTGCAGTTGCTTGGACACAGGACACTGTTGAACATAGTTTTAAATAATGTCCAAATTGGCAGAATTTATAATCAACCGTTGGATGTTATAATATCACGATACACGCTGAGTGGGTGCCATTTTGGTTCATAATCTGTCAAATTATTTATATTGTGTTAAACTGTTTGAATATTTTTCTTTCTTTTTTTTCTAAGGCTAAGAACTCGGAGCGATTTTAAATCGCGCCGCGTGCTAAGTCACTGGTATAAAATAGTCGCCCGCTGATCGGGGCGGGACCCGATTATAACCGCGCGTGCTGCGGGCGAAAACCGCGTCGTGAGTTTGTGCATTAGTTTTTACATAACTTTATTCTACAGAAGCTGCGGGCCCGCAACCTTCGCGGGCGCGGGTGTAAATCGCGCCATGAGTTCTTAGCCTAACCAGGCCTGTTCATCTCCGCGAGTTAACATCGAAAACAAAACACGCACGATTGCCCCCTACAAGAGTACTATTCGACAAGGCCTCACGAGCGAACATTGACTCACGCACGCGTATTCTTGTGTATGATGGAAAAAAATAAAGAAAATGGTGTACTAAATACTGTGCAGTATTTAACTGCCTAAATAATAATAAAAACACAGAATGTACTTTTTTAAGTTGCCTCAAGACACTGAGAGGTAAATAAGTAGTTAATATTATTCATGATAATTCATGCTAAATCATGTATTTCCTCCGCCATTTTCTGCAGATTGGCACCTCACGTCACATCATTTTACCGAAGTCAGCCCTATAGCTTCGGCGCAGTACCGATCACTGACGTTTGTCAACAAAACTTCTGACAAACTTGCTTGACTCTTGAGATTGTGCTAAATTACACCATATTGTTAATGACATTGAGCATACATTTTTTTAAATACCTTCGCGNCCAATACAGGGTGTCTAGTCTCATAGGCCATTGTTTTGAAACTCTGGAGCTTACGTGCTCACTCATACGACATAATCAAGCCTTTAATGTCACATTTTACTGGTAGAAATTGGTATTTCAGTGATGTTTGTTTTGCAACAAGCCAAATAAGAAACTTTTTACTAAACTGCGGTTTTATAAACGGTTAAATGTTGTCCTTTTAGATGCAGGTCCCGCCTCAGCAAATGCGTGAGCGCAGTGTATAATTATTTGGAAGAGGGCGGCGAGAGAGCTGCGCGGGCGCCTCTCAACGCGTACAAGAAGCCAGGTAACATTTAATTGAATAGACATGTTGACACCACAGTCAATTGACGTACTTTTTAAAACTGTCAAAACGAAACTCTCCCATAGATTTTGTATGGCACTACAAGCAAGTGACGTCACTATTTTGTCAACTCAATTAAACTACTTTTTTCAATTACAATGCGACCAAAAATCGTAATTTACAGGTAATTTAAAGTAAATTAAGTTTTTAAGACCAGAATGAAGGGTCTTTTTAAAACAGTTGTAGTTTCGAATTTTTGGGGTTTGGTGTCAAACTGTCTATTTTAAAGGAAGAAACTGATATTTTTTATGAGCAATGGTATTGATTCTGTGCAGTTAAAAGACAATGCCGGAAATTGGCGTCTTTTTTTTTTCGCGCGGCCATCGACCAAACTTTGTTTTTTGATTACAAAATAGTGTAATAAACCAAACTTACTATGAAATTGCAACAAAATAGTGAGATTGTATGTGTAAACAAACAATACCATCCATTAAAGGCTCCAGACATCAGTATGGAGCAGAATCAGCGCAATAAAAAAATAGCGCAATATTTTGTTGCAATTTCTTACAAAACTTGCGCACAAAAAGCAAATCTAGTATGAAAATCATCAAACTTCTAATGCTCGTAACTCAGTTCAGACTGAGTTTAGAGGTATACATGCCATAGTAAGTTTGGTTTATTACACTATTTTGTAATCAAAAAACAAAGTTTGGTAGATGGCCGCGCGAAAAAAAAAGACGCCACTTTCCATACAAATCTGGCATTGCCATTTGTAAGATGTCTCATAATGAAATAATGAACATTTTTAGTACTAGATTACTTTCGGGTCACATGATGGTGAACATTTTTTCCAGGACCTTATTTTCAGGGGTTAAGTTGAATCTGTATCCAAGGGAATACATTGGTTCGGTTATGTAGCTAGGTATGGAGGTTCTAATGAGGGAGAAATAATCCTAAGGCTCAAGTTTAATTATTATTATTTCAGCCACAGGACATCCACTGTTAAAATTAAATATAGTTTCAAATAATGTCCAAATTGGCAGAATTTATAATGAACCATTTGCTGTTATAATGATTGTCATGATACACGCTGAGTAGCCATTTTGGTTCAATAATCTGTCAAATTATTTATATTTTGTTAAACTGTTCGAATATTTTTCTTTCTTTTTTTCTAAAGCTAAGAACTCACGGCGCGATTTTCACACGTGCCCGCGGCGGTTATGGAATTGCGGTTTTATTTCAAAACTCACGGCGCGATTTTTCAAAAAATCGCCCCGCGTGCTAAGTCACTGGTACAAAATGGTCGTCCACCGATCAGGCGGTTTTCGCCTGCGCGAGCGGGACCCGTTTACAACCGCGCCCGCTGCGGGCGAAAACCGCGTCGTGAGTTTGTGCATTAGTTTTTATATAAGTATCTGCATTCTACAGAATCTGCGGGCCCGCAACCTTCGCGGGCGCGGGTGTAAATCGCGCCATGAGTTCTTAGCCTAACCAGGCCTGTTCATCTCCGCGAGTTTACATCGAAAACAAAACACGCACGATTGCCCCCTACAAGAGTACTATTCGACAAGGCCTCACGAGCGAACATTGACTCACGCACGCGTATTCTTGTGTATGATGGAAAAAAATAAAGAAAATGGTGTACTTAATACTGTGCAGTATTTAACTGCCTAAATAATAATAAAAACACAGAATGTACTTTTTTAAGTTGCCTGAAGACACTGAGAGGTAAATAAGTAGTTAATATTATTCATGATAATTCATGCTAAATCATGTATTTCCTCCGCCATTTTCTGCAGATTGGCACCTCACGTCACATCATTTTACCGAAGTCAGCCCTATAGCTTCGGCGCAGTACCGATCACTGACGTTTGTCAACAAAACTTCTGACAAACTTGCTTGACTCTTGAGATTGTGCTAAATTACACCATATTGTTAATGACATTGAGCATACATTTTTTTGAATACCTTCGCGAAGTAAAACTTCTGTACGTAGTACTTATTATTATTCTGTGGCCTAACTGTGCCAATTTTCCTCCCAGTGGTGAACTGTTCCCCGCTCCGCTCGTGCGCCTCTGGTGGCACTACCAACGGCAGCGCGTGCTCGGCGGCGCGGCCCCCGCGCATGGCCGGCGCGCAGCTCCCCGCCGTGCCCGCCGCCCGCTTCCCCGCGCGCGTCGCCGCGCTGCACGCTGACGGGGACATTGGATTCAGGTGGGCAGACATTAATACCATTCCAGGATTCACGTAGATACTTACAAAGCAGCGACGCGCCCGTTAGAGCAGCCGCAGGTCGAGCGAGGCTGCTGACAGCATTGGCTTCATGTAGGTGGACATTAATAAGCGTGCCCCCCCCCACAAAGTAGTGACACGCCCATTAGAGCAGTCGCGGATCAAGGCTGCTGACATTGACTTAAGGTGGGCGGACATTAATAAGCGTGCTCCCCCCCCACAAAGCAGCGATGCGACCATTAGACCAGCCGCAGGTCGAGCGAAGCTGCTGACATTGATACATAACCGTGCTTCTGGTAGGGAGACATTAATAAGCGTGCCCCCCCCATGCTGGATTCAGGTATATACTCGCAAAGCAACGACGCACCATTAGAAGCAGCCTCGCGGCTGCTCAAATGGAGACGCTGCCTCAACCTGAGGCACGACACGTTGCGAGGCTTTCGTAGCCTCGGACTCCTGAAATGGGGGGGCCATTCCAGGATTCACGTAGATACTTACAAAGCAGCGACGCGCCCGTTAGAGCAGCCGCGGGTCGAGACTGCTGACATCGGCTTCAGGTAGGTAGACATAACTAAGCATGCCCCCTCCCCCCTCCCCCCAGTGCCTGCTGCATACTTACCACGCACGTTGAGCTGGATCTCCATTTGAGCAGCCTCGTTGCTGCTCAAATGGAGACGCTGCCTCAACCTGAGGCACGACACGTTGCGAGGCTTTGGTCGCCTCGGACCGAACCATATTTTGTGTCTCGGTCCGAGGTCGCCTTTACGCGGCTTTATCAACAATGATGCATAGGCATATCACGTGACTATAAGCCTGAAGGCTTCTAACGACAGCGCGTGCGACTTCAGATTTCTCCGCGCACGTCGCCGCGTTGCATTCTAATGGAGACACCGGATTCAGGTACACACTTACAAAGCAGCGAAGCGCCCATTAGAGACGCACGAGGCGCGTAGGACTTCTGAGATTCACGTACTCGTGACTTGCACGTATCAACAAAGATACATCAGCAACACAGAACAGCATCACGTGACTGTAAGCCTGAAGGCTCCCTGTGTAGCCCCGTGGCACCGCCAACGGCAGCGCGTGCTCGGCGGCGCGGCCCCCGCGCATGGCCGGCGCGCAGCTCCCCGCCGTGCCCGCCGCCCGCTTCCCCGCGCGCGTCGCCGCGCTGCACGCCGACGGGGACATTGGCTTCAGGTGGGTAGACAGAAATAAGCGTGCCCCCCCTCCCCCATTCCGGATTTAGGTACATACAAAGCAGCGACACGCCCATTAGAGTAGGGGTCGAGGCTGCTGACATTGGCTTTAGGTACACTCGCTCCTGTAAACAATACACTCTCGTACACTCAAGGCAGCGCTTGCGAGGCCCTCTGAGGACTTCCCTTGCTAACGGAGACATTGGCTTCAGGTAGGTAGACATTAATAACTGTGCCCCCCCCACAAAGTAAAGACGCGCCCATTAGAGCAGCCGCTGGTCGAGGCTGCTGACATTGGCATAAGGTAGTCAGACATTAATAACCGTGCCCCCCCCATGCCCGCTGCGGGCTTCCCCGTGCCCGCTGCGGACTTACCAGTGCCCGCTGCAGACTTATCCACGCACCTCGTCAGCATGTCACGCGTGACATGCTGACGGAGTCATTAGCTTCAGGCATACATAAAGCAGCGTCGCGCCGATTAAGCTGGATCTCCATTAGAGGCAGCCTCGAGTCAAATGGCTCAACCTGAAGCACTACACTTTGCGAGGTTTTTGTCGCCTCTTACCGAACCATATGGGGTCATCCATAAAGTACGTCACACGTAAAGAGGGGGGGAGGGGGTTGACAAAATGTGACATGGTGTGACAAGGGGTGGGAGGGGTCCTAAGTTTCGTGACATCACATTTCAATTGTTTTAAATATTTTATATAATGTTGATTTCATAAAAAAAATGTACTTAATTTTAAATGGAAATAAAACTAATTTCGGAACTGCTGTTAATTTAATAATTTTTCGATGTGAAATTGCAAAACATGTTACGTCACACTAGGGAGGGGGGGGTCTCAGAAATGTGACCACCTGTGACAAGGACGGAGGGGGGGTCAAAAAATCATGAAATTCGTGTGACGTACTTTATGTACTTAATTTAAATGGAAATAAAACTAATTTCGGAACTGCTGTTAATTTAATAATTTTTCGATGTGAAATTGCAAAACATGTTACGTCACACTAGGGAGGGGGGGGGGGGTCTCAGAAATGTGACCACCTGTGACAAGGACGGAGGGGGGGTCAAAAAATCATGAAATTCGTGTGACGTACTTTATGGATGGCCCCTATTTTGTCGCTCGGGACGAGGCAGCCGCTCGGCCCGAGGCTGCCTTTACGCGGCTTATCACGTGACTATAAGGCTGAAGGCTTCCTGTCTTTTGAATCGGGGGTACAACTAACGGCAGCGTGTGCGACTGCCGATTTCGCCGCGTTGCATTCTGATGAAGACACCGGATTCAGGTACACACAAAGCAGCGACGCGCCCATTTAGCTGAATCCCCATTAGTGTAGGTGACACTAGGCGACATGCAATAGCGACAGCTCGGCGACTTAGCCTGTCTCGTCCCGAGCCACAAAATGTTGCTCGGTCCGATAGCTCTCCCAGAGTCTCAATTTGAGTAGTCGCAGCTGTCCTTAGGCATGTCACGTGTCTATAAGCCCGAAGGCTCCTGTGTAGCCCCGTGGCACCGCCAACGGCAGCGCGTGCTCGGCGGCGCGGCCCCCGCGCATGGCCGGCGCGCAGCTCCCCGCCGTGCCCGCCGCCCGCTTCCCCGCGCGCGTCGCCGCGCTGCACGCCGACGGGGACATCGGCTTCAGGTGGGTTCAATAACCGTGCCCCCCCCCCCCATTCCAGGATTCACGTAGATACTTACAAAGCAGCGACGCGCCCGTTAGAGCAGCCGCCCCGTGATGGATTCTGGTATATACAAAGCAGCGACGCGCCATTAGAGCAGCCGCAGGTCGAGCGAGGCTGCTAACATTGATACATAACCGTGCTTCTGGTAGGGAGACATTAATAAGCGTGCCCCCCCCGTGATGGATTCTGGTATATACAAAGCAGCGACGCGCCATTAGAGCAGCCGCAGGTCGAGCGAGGCTGCTAACATTGATACATAACCGTGCTTCTGGTAGGGAGACATTAATAAGCGTGCCCCCCCCGTGATGGATTCTGGTATATACAAAGCAGCGACGCGCCATTAGAAGCAGCCTCGCGGCTGCTCAAATGGAGACGCTGCCTCAACTAGAGGCACGACACGTTGCGAGGCTTTAGCCACCGCGGACCGAGCCACATTTTGTCGCTCGGGCCGGAGCAGCCGCTCGGCCCGAGGCTGCCTTTACGCGGCTTATCACGTGACTATAAGTTTTAGCTAGTTTTTCTGAGTGTGTAGTTTGTAAGTTGTGCGTATTGCATACTGCTATATCAATTAAATATACGGTCTTATTAGTTTTGTCATGTAAAATTATATCGGGTCTATTGTAGTGGATTGTTTTATCAGTAATAATGGTTCTATCCCAGTATATTTTGTAATTTTCGTTGTCTAGAACTGTGTCAGGCTGGTATTTGTAATATGGAGTTTTTTGTGAAATGAATTGGAATTTGAACGCTAAATGTTGATGGATTATTGCTGCTACTTGGTCATGCCTATGTTTGTAGTCCGTTTGTACGATAATTATTATTATAATTCAAACTGCCATCCATAGTGCAGTGCTTTAAGTATTAAAAATGATATTGTTTGTTCACAGCAAGGAGTACGAGATCGTGGTGGCGAGATCGGCTGCACTGGGGCACACGAGCCACCACAGCCACCGTCCCGAGAACAGACTGAAAAATAGATATTTGAATATTACTGCTTGTGAGTATTCATTTAGCTACAGATCTAGCATTGAACTCAGTCAGCGCCTGAGGTATGGCAGTGGCACGTAGGGTATTTTTGTAACGTCAAACGTGACTTCAGATTTATTTGCTCTGTTACGTCATATGTTAATGTCGCCCCTCCTGTGCCGCTCCTATATCCCTGCCACTGACTGAATTGAGCGCTACACCTTCAGTTATATTTGTTAGAATAGGTCTACGTATCAAAAAGTCTTGCTTAGTTTTGGACTAGGAGACGCAACATAAAATGCAAAAAATAAAATAATGATACCCGAGTATGATCAATGAGGGTTTTCGCGTATGAAAGATCCGCTAGATGGCGGGACGTGGATGTGGGGTCTGACTGCTGCGTGATTGGTGGATTTTGACATATCTGTCAATGTCATGTCAAAAATAACCAATCATGCAGCATTTGGACCTCGCGTCTACGTATTGCCATCTGGCGGATTTTTCGTTCGCGAAAACCCTCGTTGTCTTAACCTGGAAAATAGCCCACGGCTCGCGCATATAACATCATATTATAACACCTTTCTCCTTACAGATGACCACTCCCGCGTTTGCGTCTCGGCTGGCGGTCGCTGCGGCGCCGCCGGCTGCGTTGGCGCCGGCCGCGGCGCCGCTTGCGACTACGTCAACGCCAACTTCATTGATGGCATGCTGCCCGCGCTGAACGCGCCGGCGCTGCGACGCATCCGACGCCGTTTGGAGCGCCTGCGCCGCCCGCAGAGGTGAGTAGGAGTTGGGACTTTATAGTGAAGGAATAAGAACGTCATTGCAACAGGAACACGTTGCCTAGAGCGCCTGCGCCGCCTGCAGAGGTGAGCGGGAGTTGTGACCTTATGGCGAGGGAATAGGATTGTCATTGCAACAGGAGAGCGAGCAGCATTAGTACAATGAACGCGCCTGCGCCGCCCGCAGAGATGAGTGGGAGTTGCGACCTTATGGCGAGGGATTAGGGCTCAGTGTGAGTCACTTCATCGACGGCATGCTGCCCGCGCTGCACGCGCCCGCGCTGCGCCGCATCCGACGCCGCCTGGAGCGCCTGCGCCGCCCGCAGAGGTGAGAGGGAGTTGGGACTTTATAGTGAAGGGATAAGGTTCTTATTGCAGCAGGAGAGCGAGCAAGAAGAGTACATTGTATGCGCCTGCGTTGTGCTTCATCTGACGCCGCCTGGAGCGCCTGCGCCGCCCGCAGAGGTGAGCGAGAGTTAGGACTTTAAGTCAAGGGTATAAGGCTGCTATTGCAACATTAGAGCGAGCATCTTACAACTGCAGCGCTGCACGCACCTGTGCTACACATGCTTTAACAGGAAGAGTGAGTTCAAAATCCGGACACCCAAGACAAAAGAATATGGCTCGGTGACACAACTTGGAACGAAGCAATAGATAAGTTTTTCTTTATTAGCGCCGCTACTACATATTTGGTCACCTCGATGCGGGCAGCGCAAGACCGATCGTTGTGGAAATCCTTGGGCCACCATGTCCAGTAGTGGACATCATTTCACTGAAACGGACGAACGAATACCTATTATTTGATTCATACATCAATTCAATTTCCTCCATCCCCAGGCAACCCTCAACAAAGCCAGTGAAGCCTCCGCCCAACCTAGCGGAAGGCATCGAGTCGGCGTTCCTAAACATCGAGTTCTCGGGCATAGTGGAGTCTGATGAGCAGAACGAGGATTCTGACAGCGATCATAGCGATGAAGATTGCGAACTGGACGACGTTTATGTCGATATCGGTGAGTGTGGACGATGTGTATATCATTTATCGTATATCGTTGTACAAACCCTGGCATAGAGGCGCATCAATTGCATTTGATAGTGCAACACTGAGTACAGTCGTACCTGTGTTAAATTAATAGGCTAACTTTATGTATCAGGATTCAGGATTACGGGGTAATTTGATATTTTCATAAATTAACGAAAAAAATATTATTATTGGTAACCTGATTTAAATAAATTAAATGAAACCATCAATCGAGCTAGTACAATTTATTTTATTATTCATCAATAATCAAATTCAGAACTTGAATATTCAACTGCAATGTCTGCTCATGAACGCTTCAAACTCGGTACTTCTTTCCCAATCCCATAAAATTCAACACTTAGAAAGTGACAAAAAATTTTAAAATAGGTAGTTGAAACAAACCACAGCTAATTTTCATAGTGGACTGTACTATACGATAAACATGTCAGTCAATTTGACAACCTTTGTCGGAAACATTATTCAATGAAAATATTGTCCAAACCCTTAGTATTTCTCTTCGACAAATACTTTAACACATTGTGAACCACTTTTCTTTCACGACTATAAAAATATTTTAGCAATTTAATTCATAAAGCCAATTGCGCACATTTAAAATAAAGTTTGTTTACACTTTGACAGCAATAGACTGACATGCAAGGTGACATGTCAATGAAGTTTTCAGTTACTGTTGCCATTAAAAGAAATTAGTACCATTAGTTTTCCGCAACATGGCGAGGGTTTTTATGTTCCTGGTCAGGCTATACTTTATTATTTACTCTAACGTTAGATTACATCTCTCAAACGTTTTTATCCTAAAGAGTCGATTTTTGCATATAAGTCTAGTTTGGCAGTAGGTATTTTTAGCAAACTACTGTGCTATTTATTTACGCTAATATTTGTAAAATCGTTCAAGGAGCAGGAATACCCTAAACAAAAATTTAGGAGGCGAATATGTTTTTAAAGAAGACCGGTCATCTGTGACCCAGGCCCGACAGAAACGAGACATATCTCAGTTTTTTGTCATGTCTTAATTAGTTAAATTATATATTTTTATATACGAAATCTATGTTTAACGTCAAAATATTGCCCTTTGTTTACACAAAAACTAATACAAAATGCCTTTTTGTATGGGGCGTGACCGTTCTTCTTTGTTCTCTTCAATCTCATCTGATGCTTGTTCAGAGCACTGATTTAGTGAATTTTGAAGTTATGGAAANCCTAACTGTGCCAATTTTCCTCCCAGTGGTGAACTGTTCCCCGCTCCGCTCGTGCGCCTCTGGTGGCACTACCAACGGCAGCGCGTGCTCGGCGGCGCGGCCCCCGCGCATGGCCGGCGCGCAGCTCCCCGCCGTGCCCGCCGCCCGCTTCCCCGCGCGCGTCGCCGCGCTGCACGCTGACGGGGACATTGGATTCAGGTGGGCAGACATTAATAACACACGCTCCTGTACACAATACACTTAAGGCAGCGCTTGCGAGGCACTTTGAGGACTTCCCTTGCTGACGGAGACATCTGCTTCAGGTAGGTGGATATAAATAAGCGCTTAATAAGCGTGCTCCCCCTCCCCCTTCAAAGCAGCGACGCGCCCCTTAGAGCAACTAGCTTCAGGTAGACAGACATTAATAAGCGTGCCCCCCCCCCCATGCCGGATTCAGGAGTACATACTTACATAGCAAAGACGTGCCCATTAGAACAGCCGCGGTTCCAGCAGCGACGTCCACCTACAAATTAGCACCGACGACCTCATAAAGGTGGCATGAAGGCGCTGGATGCAGGCCGCAACCGGCCATTGCGGAAATCATTGGGAGAGGCCTATGTTCAGCAGTGGACGTCCTATGGCTGAAATGATGATGACTCACAAAGCAGCGACGCGCAGTGTAACTAGGCGACACGCAATAGCGACACGCGATAGCTACACACGACAGCGACACGCAACAGCGACAGCTCGGCGACTTAGATTGCCTCTTTCCAAGCGACAAAAGCTCGGTCCGATAGCTGCCTTAGGTTAGGCAGCGTCTCCATGTTGCTCGACCCGAGGCTGCCTTTAGTGGATACGCGGCTATACACGCACGTATCAACAAAGAACAGCATCACGTGACTGTAAGCCCGAAGGCTCCCTATGTTGCCCCGTGGCACCGCCAACGGCAGCGCGTGCTCGGCGGCGCGGCCCCCGCGCATGGCCGGCGCGCAGCTCCCCGCCGTGCCCGCCGCCCGCTTCCCCGCGCGCGTCGCCGCGCTGCACGCTGATGGGGACATTGGATTCAGGTGGGCGGACATTAATACACAATACACTCTCGTACACTCAAGGCAGTGCTTGCGAGGCCACGTGACTCAGGTACATACGAAGCAGCGACGCGCCCGTTAGAGCAGCCGCGGGTCAAGGCTGCTGACATTCGCTTTAGGTACACTGGCTCCTGTACACAATACACTCTCGTACACTCAAGGCAGCGCTTGCGAGGCCCTCTGAGGACTTCCCTTGCTGACGGAGACATTGGCTTCAGGTAGGTAGACATTAATAACTGTGCCCCCCCCCCACAAAGTAACGACGCGCCCATTAGAGCAGCCGCTGGTCGAGGCTGCTGACATTGGCATAAGGTAGGCAGACATTAATAACCGTGCCCCCCCCATGCCCGCTGCGGCCTTCCCCGTGCCCGCTGCAGACTTATCCACGCACCTCGTCAGCATGTCACGCGTGACATGCTGACGGAGTCATTAGCTTCAGGCATACATAAAGCAGCGACGCGCCGATTAAGCTGGATCTCCATTAAAACAGCCTTGGGTCAAATGGAGACGCTGCCGCAACAGTTTGACTACATTTTGCATGCTTTTGTTGATACGCGGCTTTACACGCACGTATCAACAATGATACATAGGCATGTTTCGTGATTATAAGCCTGACGGTTTCAGGTACTTTTTTATGTAACTTACTTTTATTTGAGCATCAAATCAAATCCATATTATTTGTTCACAGCAAGGAGTACGAGATCGTGGTGGCGAGATCGGCTGCCCTGGGGCACACGAGCCACCACAGCCACCGTCCCGAGAACAGACTGAAAAATAGATATTTGAATATTACTGCTTGTGAGTATTCATTTAGTTAGCGAATTTAGAATTATCCATTTCATATTTTAAAGAAAGAAACATTTGGGAGTATAAACATATTTATTTGTATTAGTGGGTGCAGAGGTGTGGGATCTCATATGTATACAGGGTGGAATTTTGTAATGCCACCTGGAGGGAAAGTACTCTTAATACTGTTGATAGAAAATTTTACTCAAAGAAAACATTTTTTTATTTTTGAAAACTGCAGTCATAGTTTTTCGAAAAAAATTCTAAAATTCACTTCCATACCAAACAATGTTCTGTACATAATTAAAATAATTTAAGATTTCATGGTTTTCCTTTCATTTGATTTATCAAGTTTGTTAGAGAGATTTCATCCTTATACTTAACCCTAACGATCGATGTAATAAAAATGCAGGATGTAATTTTTAACAGATTTTAGTTGGTTCGATTCCCGGGTGTGGCAAGCAATTTTTTGGAAATCTTTGAATGCAGTTCTATTTCTTTTAAAAAATAAAGGAATGTTTTCTTTGACAAAAAATTCTATCTACAATATTAAGAGTACTTTCCCTCCAGGTGGCATTACAAAATTCCACCCTGTATATTAAAAAAAATGTTTATAATCCATAGCATGTTACGCCAACTAAAATGCATGATGAAGTATGCATGACTTATGCATACCTTTTTTCCGTCAAGAAATCCATGAAGCTTGTGCTTTATGTGGGACTTTGCCCGCAAGGAGAGCGGGGCCTACCCACTAAAACCGGACTATGTCCTCTGAGAGCTCAATGAGACGGAGCCGTGAGTTATTGTCTAAACTAAACTATGTCATTCGCCCGCGGTTCGTGAATAAATCACGTTAGTATAATGCCTCTCTCCTTACAGATGACCACTCCCGCGTTTGCGTCTCGGCTGGCGGTCGCTGCGGCGCCGCCGGTTGCGTGGGCGCCGGTCGCGGCGCCGCCTGCGACTACGTCAACGCCAACTTCATTGATGGCATGCTGCCCGCGCTGAACGCGCCGGCGCTGCGACGCATCCGGCGCCGTTTGGAGCGCCTGCGCCGCCCGCAAAGGTGAGTGGGATTTAGAACTTTATAGTGAAGGAATAAGAACGTCATTGCAACAGGAACACGTTGCCGAGAGCGCCTGCGCCGCCTGCAGAGGTGAGCGGGAGTTGTGACCTTATGGCGAGGGAATAGGATTGTCATTGCAACAGGAGAGCGAGCAGCATTAGTACAATGAACGCGCCTGCGCCGCCCGCAGAGATGAGTGGGAGTTGCGACCTTATGGCGAGGGATTAGGGCTCAGTGTGAGTCACTTCATCGACGGCATGCTGCCCGCGCTGCACGCGCCCGCGCTGCGACGCATCCGACGCCGTTTGGAGCGCCTGCGACGCCCGCAGAGGTGAGTTGGGGCCTTATGGCGAAGGAATAAGGCTCAAGATGTCATGGCAACAGAAGAGAGAGCATCTTAAAACTACAGCGCTGCATACACCCGTGCTACACGCCTATAGAGCGCCTGCGCCGCCTGCAGAGGTGAGCGGGAGTTGGGACTTTATAGCGAGGGAATAGGGCTGCTATTGCAGTATTAGAGCGAGCATCTTACAACTGCAGCGCTGCACGCGCTTGCGCTGTGCCGCCCGCAGAGATGAGCGAGGAGTCCCAACCTTATGGCCAGGGCATAAGGCTGTCATTGCAGCAGGAAAGCAAGGAGTATAAGTACACTGTATGCGCCCGCGCTGCGCCGCATTCGGCGCCGCCTGGAGCGCCTGCGCCGCCCGCTGAAGTGAGCGGGATTTAGAACTTTATAGTGAAGGAATAAGGACGTCATTGCAGCCAGAGAGTAAGCATTAAGAATACACTGTCCGTGTCCGTGCCTACACTGCGCCGCATCCGCCTGCGCCGCATCTGCCAGCGTCATCCGCAGAGGTGAGCGGGAGTTGCGACCTTATGGCGAGGGAACAAGGGTGTCATTGCAGCAGGAAGCGAGCAGCATGAGTACAGCAAACGTGTCTGCGCCACACAGAGGTGAGTGGGAGTTGCGACCCTATAGCGGGGGAACAAGGCTCAGTGTGAGTCAACGCCAACTTCATCGACGGCATGCTGCCCGCGCTGCACGCGCCGGCTCCTGCGCCGCCCGCAGAGGTGAGCGTGAGTTGCGCCCTTATGGCGAGGGGATAAGGCTCAATATGTCAAAATGCCGAATTTATTCTGAGATTAATATTTTCTCTTGTTTGGTCGAATCCACCCGAAGTTTCTTCCTTATTAGCGCCGATATTTTAGGTGATTTTCGCCAGCCTAGTTCACGTTCAAATCTTTTACTGTTTTTTTCATTTATTTATTCAATTATTCTCCATCTCCAGGCAACCCTCAACAAAGCCAGTGAAGCCTCCGCCCAACCTAGCGGAAGGCATCGAGTCGGCGTTCCTAAACATCGAGTTCTCGGGCATCGTGGAGTCTGACGAGCAGAATGAGGACTCGGACAGCGATCATAGTGATGACGATTGCGAACTGGACGACGTTTATGTCGATATCGGTGAGTTTGGAAGATGTGTATATACACATAAATGTAACGTAAATGATATCATTTATCGTATATCGTTGTACAAAAACGATCTTCGTTTGTAACCTTACTACTTTATTATTTATTCTAACGTTAGATTACATTTCTCAAACGAGTCCTAAAGAGTCGATTTTTTCATATAAGTCTAGTTTGGCAGTAGGTATTTTTTAGCAAACTACTGTGCTATTTATTTACGCTAGTATTTGTAAAATCGTTCAAGGAGCAGGAATGCCCTAAACAAAAATTTTGAAGCGGAATATATTTTTAATTTTGTTCTCTTCAATCTCATTTGATGCTTGTTCATAGCACTGATTTAGTGAATTTTGAAGATATGGAAATTGCCATTCGCATCCTAAATCGCACAAATATTCACTATCCGCGAATTCATGCTCAAATCATATTGTCCCGCTTTTCAATTTATTAGTTTGAATGTTTTCCCCCACAGATGGCGTCCCAACCCGAGTGAAACTAGAATGGCTGGTGTGGCGGCGCCGCTACATCGCGACCCAAGGCCCTACACCAGCTACACTCGATGCCTTCTGGCGCATGATCTGGCAACACCGTGTGCACACCATCGTCATGATCACCAACCTGGTGGAGCGAGGCAGGGTAAATATTTGTGTAGACTGACTTATCCAATCGCAAGACGGAAGGGTTCGTTCAAATTAGACGTTTTCAGTAGGACGACGGTCGTGCGTTTGCAAGACCGCACAGTGCACACTAACTATTGGTAATGAGGGCTATCGTTTTAGCGCTCACCAGTTGGCGTCACTGTAGAGTAAAGTCCTGTCACTTGCTAGTCGCGAAGACAGTGGCGCCAACTTGTGAGCGCTAAAGTGGTAGGAGGACTATCGCATTTGCACTCATCAAGATGGCGCCACTGTAGAGTAAGGTCCTGTCAATCGCCAGGGGTGCCAACTGTTAAGTATATAAACGATAGCCCTCATTGACAATTTTATTCCGACGCAGTTGTCATACAATTTACCGTGTGCGGTTCTGCAAACGTACGACAAACGTTCGGCTCAAAAGGTCTAATTTGAAAGACCTTTAAGGTCACCCAAAGACTGAATTGTGACGCGGACACTTTGTGACGTCAGAGTTTGTGTGACTCAAGACTTCATCAAGTAAAAATTACATGGTATTTATAGAAGGTTGGGCTCCTGTAGTGGAGACTGAACGACCTGATGATGATGATGTATAGATATAACCTTAACTGTTTGTTGCAGCGCAATTGCGACATGTTCTGGGGAATGTAGGCCAAATCCTTCATTTGTCTCTGGTATATTAGAGGGTTGTGCTCCTATAGTGGAGACTAAACGACACGCATTCGATGTCGACTGCGTAAAAAAGTGTCATTAAATGTATGACGGATTGTACGGCGCCCCTAGCGGAAACTAATATTTTTTTATTATTTTAACGCGCTCGCTAGTAACGACGATTGATGTAAACTTGCACTAAGCCCCCTGATGACGATGATTTATGACCGTGATTGTTTATTCCAGCGTAAATGCGACATGTACTGGCCGGGCAGCGGGCGCGGCAGTTCAGCTGAGTACGGCGGCGTGCGCGTGACGTTGTTACACGAAGACGTGCGCGCAGCTTATACCGTGCGTCACATGCGCGTGCGCCTCGCCGCGCCTGAGGCGGACCAGGTATGAAATGAGGAGTGGAGGATATTGTAAATAAAAATAAACTGTCAAAGAATTCTAATATTTGTCAAAGAAGGCATCGCTATGACATGGGATTAAGGAAAACGTCAATATTGTCTATCAGACAGGCGTTTACAGAGGATTCAATGCTACTGCACGGCCCGCAACGTACTAGATGCGTATTCGCAGTGCCGGATTAGCCACGTAGCAAGAGTAGCAAATGCTACGGGCCCCGCGAATTTGGGGGCCCCGCGCTCCAAAGCCTGTCTGACCGAAATTATTTATTTATTTATTATTTAAAAAAAGATTAATTTAGATAGGAGCGTAAAATATCTTGCATTAGGCTATGCTTTACTTTCACTTGAAAATCTAAAACTCGATTTCATCACGTTAAATCATAAAAATAAGTAGGTAGGTATTTTACGAACTTTTTAACGTGAATGTTCTCTAATAGGCCAGTAGAATTAAACACAAAAATGAATTAAATCTGAAACAATTCCTACTAAAGATTTTATTTTTTATTTATTTATTCACAACAACAACACTTCACTGTCATCACAGGACATCCCACTGCGACAGCGAAGACAACACATCAACATACACAACGTCAAATACAAAACTAGTAATCAGTGCTTTAATGGCTTTATTAGTTGCCCATAAACTTTATGGCATAAAGACTCTCCTAGGTTTTCGACTTCGACGGAGTTGTGCTTAAGTGGTGGGGGCCCCCGAAAGGGGCGCTTTTTCGGTTTTCCGGTTATACCGCGTAAAGGACTTACCCTATCGAAAAGTGGTCTTCCTGACGGTTGAAGGGCATTTAATCCTGCATTAAATAAGACCAAATATATGTATATGTTTTGAACAAACCGTTCTCGTGCAAATGTTCGGCAAAGTAGAAAAAGTAAACTTAAAGCTTAGTTACAACAGGATATTGCAAAATTCACACGGGAACGGGAGTTAGCAGGAAAAAACATTTGTATGAAAAAATCTAAACCGCGTAAGATAGATGAAGGGGGTAAAACGGGATCCACGCGTACGAAGTCGCGGGCGGCCGCTAGTTATAAAATATAGATTCATTTTATGAGTGAATATAGCTAACCTTTTTAATCGATTATCATACCGATCTATGATCATGTTTCGAGATTATTGAAAGCTAGTGACGGTAGATTAAGCTGAGCAAGGTGTTTTAGAGTCTCAAGTAAAAAAGCGGATAATTAAAAAATGAGGTTTACTATTATTTAACAAAAAACGTATGACAAAAGATCATTTTAACTACAAACAACGTTTGAAAAACTAAACATTTTAAAAAACTTTTAATAAATAATTCTTTAGAATCGTGTTTTCCAAACTTAGAAATTGCCTTGCGCATTTACATGTCTCTCATGATCACTAACTGCAGTGGCGAACGTTCTTTTTCAACATTAAAACGTATTAAAAATGAATTAAGGAACACGATGGGACAAGAACGTCTGAATCATCTTACTTTGTTGAATATAGAGCATGATTTGCTTAAAGAAGTTGATATCGAAAGTGTTATCTCTAAATTTTCCCACATTAAACCAAGAAAAGTTCATTTGTAACAGTTTTGTTTCATTTAATACCCTAAACTTGAGAACCTAAAGCAAACCAAGGGCCCCTTGATAGAAATTTGCTACAGGCCCCGCGCTGGCTTAATCCGGCACTGCGTATTCGTCGTTATACGCTTGGTGTACGCCTGCTTGCAGCTTACATACAAAACAATGTAATGTTTAGTAAGCTACGTGCCGTGGACAGTAGCACTTAAAACAAAACATCGAAGTCGTCACCTTGCCAGCCTATTGGTAGGTGATGACGTCATAGGTTTAGCCTATCCGGATTCCGAATCGTTTTCAACAACATGGCTCCAAATCGGATACTCAATGCATTTAAATGTAAATAGGCGTTGTAAATGTCTTCGGCTTTGGGAAAAATTACTAATCTGTTGTCCTAGATGAGCAACTGTACGTGATATGAAGCGATGGGACGTAATGCGAAAAATACTTGACGTTTATTACATGTCATGACACGCGACTACGTAGGCCACTATTATATTCACCGACTGCTTGATATTTTCGATTCGCGTTGCCGCGTTTGTCGTTTACCAAGACAACGGATCGTAAAGAGATGTCTTTTTGGTTGGTTTAGATTTACCCTTATACATTTTTTACTTACCATCATATTTTTCTGCAGGCTAGCGACACTGGTAGTGGGTCAAGCGACGGCGGCTGGCGCTCCATAGCGCAATACCACTACACGGTGTGGCCGGACCACGGCACGCCGCGGCACCCTCTAGCTGTCTTACCTTTCGTCAGGGCCGCCGCCGCCGACCCCGGCACCGTCCTGGTTCATTGCAGGTAAATAATAATTAAGCCATGGACACAATGAACGGTCCTGCTGTGCTGCCCGTATCCAGGGTCTTCCCGCGACCTTTACCAGATCGACGGTCCACCTAGTACAGCTCGAGCTGCTGCCAGCTGGCATTGGTAACAGCTGGGGCGGTTGGTATCAACTGCTCAAGACACAAGCGCGCGCGACGTGGAATGAAGAGCGCAGGCGGACTGCGCGAGAGCAGTCGACAGTTAGTGCTAGTTCATTGCAGGGAAATAATGAATCAAGTGTTAGGTGATAAGCAAGCGTCTCAGGTACCGGTGGGAAGACGAAGTCACTAAGGACCCGCGCGATTTCCTCGTCGATAACTGAGCGGACAACTCGAGCAATTAGTCAGTGATCAACATACCGCTCTTGTCATAGTCATAGCCAACTATAGATAACTGCTGAAAAATGTAAATAAAAGATTGCCTCTCGAGTCTGATATGCCAAAAGATATTTCATAGCTTAGAGCCCTCAGTGAAAAATAAAGAAGGCTATACTCGATAACTCTATGAAAATAACAGTTGAAATCGTAGGAGAATACAAGCACATTGACTCGCCAAAAGTTATTTTACTCTTGATGACGGAAGAGCGATGCCCGATCTAAAATAGGATGTTCTTACTTCAATATAAATAATAATATGTTTTTTTTTTCAATTTGCAGCGCGGGCGTCGGCCGCACAGGCACGTACATAGTCCTAGACGCTCAGCTGAACCAGTTAAAGCTAACTGGCACCCTATCCCCTCTTGGCTTCCTCTGCCGTGCGCGAACGCAACGGAACCACCTCGTGCAAACCGAGGAACAATACGTCTTCGTCCACGACGCTTTACTAGAACACGTGCGTTCAGGAAACACAGAAGTCGAGTTCCCCAAAGCGAGGGAATATCTAGTCAAACTCTTAGAGCCCATATCCGAGGAGGAACTGGCCGTTTTGGACCTCAATTCTAACAAGAAACAGAGCATGAACGATCTGACGAACGGTGTTGAGAACGGCGATACGTCAAGCATCAAGTCTAATCAAGCGGAGTGTAGCGAGCAGGATGTCATTGAGAATGGGAGTCAGGTGTCGAGCAGGATAGACCTGGATGAGGATCAGAGCAAGTCGGAGGGGTCTATGGGGGATGTAACGGAGGAGGGGGAGACGGAGACGAAAGAGGTTCTCGTGAATGGGGAGGAAACGGAGGGAGTGTACGATTTGGCGCCGCGGTCCACGGATACTTATAGTAAGAAGATGATGGCGTATAATAACATGAATGAAGAGGAGAAAGAGGAAATTAGGAGGTGAGTGGTTTGAACAGAATATTAACACGTAACGTTGCAAAATTTTCCTTATGTAATAAGGAAATTGTTATGTAATGTTTCTATTCTTTATGTATTTTTGAAGTTAAAATGATTTTTTACTTATTGCAGTAATCTTTAGAGTTTACTTATAATACACAAGGTTATAAGATGAAGAAGATTTCAAACAATTTTATCATTTCTATTGGCTACCACCAGATGTGTTATTACATTATTAAAATCGTTCTTTGCAGGGTGAATCGCGCCGAAAACTACGCACTTCTAGAGCGAATGCGCTCGCTCGCAAACAGACATCACACGTATCAGGGCCCGCCGCCCGTCAACTTGCTGGAGAAACAATTCCTGGTACGTTATATCACAGATAATATAATACTAGTACAGATGCATCATCCCATACTCGAAATGTGGCCGACCTAAGTCTTGAAACTGCTCGGGCCCGCTTGGTTTCCTAGNAAAGAAATCGAAAAGATCCCTATTCCTTTAATATTATTGAACCCCTAACTGTCAGTGCTTGGATTCGCCGCCATGAAAAAAAAGCACAGCTTGCTGATCGACCACAGCCGTTTATAATTTCCAAAGCACAAAGTTCACGAATGGTGAACAGGTATGCAACGGACCCATTTACACACACAAGAGTATTTGCGGAAGAATTTGAATGCTCCTTAAAAATGTGAGAAGGGCCCTGCATCGAGCTTGCGAGGAAAATAATACTAAGTGAAGAAAATAAGGCGGCGAGAGTCCGATTCGCGTGAGAATACAGGGATTTTGATTTCTCGCATGCCATATTTGACGACGAAAAAAGTTTTAAATCAAACCAAATAGGACGTCGGCATTTATTCATATATTGTTGAGGTTATGTTTTAAAACTCTTCACTAAAACACCTCTAGATGGCGCAACCGACGGAGCAGCGGCGAGCAACAAACTCCGAGTTGGCGTGATTGTCCCCTACCATCTGGCGACTATAATAATTGTATTAAATGTTAACGGTCTTATTCATAATAAAATGCTAATATAGGTTTAAAACCTACATTAGCTAAAACGTTTGATAGGCTTAAAACACTCTTATAAACCTCTGATAAANTAAATAAATAAATATTCTGAATGGCAAAAGCTAGACGCAATGGCGCAAGGTGTGATTGTAACCAGATTATCCCCAAATGTGATGCTACAAGTACAAAACTGCGAAACAGCTCATCAGATATGGAACAAGCTAATAACCTTATTATAACTTAAGCTAATAAAAATAAAGATGAAAGAATGCCTCCTGGGAAGTGGCTACTTGCGAGAGTTTAAGAAAAAGTTACGGTATCCTAGTTTATTAATCTATGATTTTAAGACATCCACTTCCGCTCTCTGACGTTTCTGTTCTGTACTCGGGTTGGACTTGGATGGAATAAAGTGTGTCAAGGACAATAAACATTCCGTTATTCACAAGTGATGGCGAAAGTATTCGGTATTTTCGGTGACGGGCTGCCGGCCATTAATCTTGCAGGTGAAACAACAAGAAGGACTTCAGGAGATTTCTTTCTTTCTTTCTAACGATGGCAACACGGCTAGACGATTTTTTTTGACGGAGTAGATAAAATCTTATTCGACGGTTTTCAGTCATTTTAGAAACACTTTCCTGTGTGTATGCTTGATACGCAGAAATTTAAAGAATTCGCAGTGCAAACAGAAAAGTGCATGGTAATGAAGAATATTGAAGAAAGGGTAGTATTTAAACGAGTGACTGTAAATTTATGTTGTAAGTGTCAAAAATAATTAATGTGGGCTAAAGAATTACTAAATGAGCGACTGAGTGCGAGTGACGAAAAATCAAAAGAAAAGCAACTTACAAAAAAAAATGAGTTCCTTAAAATACAAAATGAGAAGCTTCATAATATTTGAGCGACCTAATATTTAATTTTGATAGAGTGTCAACGTTAGGTCCTGCATTTTTTTCAATATTTGGCAAATGCTTTTTTTATACTGAGCGGTATTTTTAACTTTAATGAAGTGTTTCGAATGCAAAAACTATTTTGAAAAATACTATTATGAGCAGCGTATTATGAGCCCACATATAAATAAAGAATTATCTTATGAAATAAAATATATTTGACGGAACACTATTCTAGTAGCGAAAAAATAAAATATCATTAAAATTTAAGGGTAGGTAATCAAATGAAACAATGTATTACATTACGAAAAATGAAATAAATTTGTATTTTCTTTTAAATCGAATCAACAAAAAAACAACAAAATAAAATAAGTCGCTTCTGTCAACCCAAAAAAAAGTAATCTTATTAACAAGGTTCATTGATTGGTACCTATGAGGATTGAGGAGCTCTACCTACTCATCGTCACTGTATGTTAAGTGCTGGCTTGGACTTAGCGGGCCGACCTCGTTTTATTTTTTGTCCAATAGGTATCAGTTTTGCTTCCAGTGGCGGTGTTGTTAGTTTGAGCCGAATTATAAAACAAAACGTGTTTGCATACATATTTTGTTAAAAATTCGGGACAGTCGCCCCGCCCCCATTCGAATTCGCGCGCTGTAACAATCTGTAGTAGAACAAAGCGTATCAAAATAAAAAACATGAGACCTCAAATATAATATCAGTAACCAATAATCATTAATAAAGCAGATCACAAAACTTTGCTTAGAATTAACTTTTNTTTAATTCTACTGGCCTATAATGTTTAATTATAATCGATATAAATGTATTTAGACTAACATCTATACATACCACATTTCTACCCTTCAAGCGGCCAGATTTTTATTTTTTTTCTATAGGTATACATTTATTTTATGAGTTTACGTAGGTAGCCGAGATTATACTTTTTTTAATCGATTTTAATATAATATCGATTATCAATATTTCGAGAAAACAGGCGAACTATTTAAAATTTATTAATTCAGTCACGATCCAATCTACTATAGTTGGTTGATTTGTCTATACTTATAATAAATCTGTAGAGAGGTCAATTCTGTACATGAAATATATTTTCAAAATAACTATCAGGGGGTGATTAGTGATCGATACTGATGCCAAAAATGCAATCAGTAAAATTTTTGTCTGTTTGTCTGTCTGTCTGTCTGTCTGTCTGTCTGTCTGTCTCTCTGTCTGTCTGTCTGTCTGTCGGTCTGTCTGTATGTTCCTTATAGAAACAAAAACTGCTCGACGGATTTTAACGAAACTTAGTACAATTATTCTTCATACTCCTGGGCAGGTTATAGGATAAACTTAGGAATTCCCACGGGAACGGTTTTAGCGGGAAAATCCTTTTGTGTGAAAAATCTAAACCGCTTAAGTTAGACGCTTGAAATTTGGCATACAGGTATCTTAGTAAACTTTGAGCTTAGTTACAATAGGATATTGCAAAATTCCCACGAGAACGGGAGTTAACGGGAAAAAACATTTGTATGAAAAANCGTCATGACCTGCTACAAGCTCGTCACGGCCGAGTTCAAGTGGTTCGGACTCCAGGTAAGAACAATAACTCCTTCTGCTGCTTTATTCTGGGTTGTAACAACTGAACTCACTAGTTTAAGTCTGCGAAGATCGGCTGCAACTAGAAAAAAAGGTCGAAGGTAAGTTAGGGGCCATCCATAAAGTACGTCACACGAATTTCATGATTTTTTGACCCCCCCTCCGTCCTTGTCACAGGTGGTCACATTTCTAAGACCTAGTGTGACGTCACATGTTTTGCAATTTCACATCGAAAAATTATTAAATTAACAGCAGTTCCGAAATTAGTTTTATTTCCATTTAAATTAAGTAGGTACTTTTTTTTATGAAATCAACATTATATCAAATATTTGAAACAATTGAAATGTGATGTCACGAAACTTAGGACCCCTCCCACCCCTTGTCACACCATGTCACACTTTGTCAACCCCCTCCCCCCCTCTTTACGTGTGACGTACTTTATGGATGACCCCTTAGTCATAACTTGCTACAAGTTAGTGTTGATTGTAAGACTGATAGCTCTGCTCTCAACCCTGGTACCAAACTTAATATGTAATTCAAGTCCGCTTAAAAAATCAAGTTGCTCATGACCAGACCAAAAGCTGAAAAGCAAAGGAAAACTGTACAACAATCTGGACTTAATTGCATCTTATAAATAGATGCTATTTTGCAACCATTGGTCGCATTGTACCATTTCCGTATGAACTATGTGTTCCCGAATTGTGGCCGTACCCCAGTACGATGTTAATTGTCACTTTGTCAATCAAGTATTGCAAATGAACAAACACATCAAGAAAACAATGAAAAAAAAATTTCGATACAGTGAGGAGTACAATTTGCATGGAAATATGCTATTTCTCAGTGTCTCAGGTTAGTGTCATTGCTGAGTTACAAAGTTCACAAATAGTTGTAACTGTAACTACACGGTGTTTATGAATGTACAAAATCTTTTTCTCTTTGTTCACAGAGTAAAGTAGAAAATGTCATCCAAAAATCAGAACGGCGGTTGTTCACCATTTTCCACAGGTAAAAAAACACATTTACATTTTATGCATAGCAAAGTCCATAAAAACATATTTTTCAAAGTATATCAACTCATATTAATTAACGTAACATGCCCGAAAATGATTTTCAACGATAAGATGACGAGTCTACTGAGTCAACATGTTTATAATATAATTTCCACATTGCGAGCTTCGTACGCGCGTCATTTTGATTGGAAGGTCCAACATCATTTTATTTCCCTTCAATACTACTTCTATATGCATAATACAGTACAATCCAGTATAACATTCTCCTTATCCATAGTTCTACCTCCCTATACAAACCAGATAATTTTCTTTAGTTAGGGGAGTTTGATCCGAGCAATCCGAGCCACATTATTATAGTGTGCGTGCACACTCATGGATAATTTAGCGTGTACCGATAACACTCAAACATTAGCGGAAGAATGGTGGGGCGCGCCTTCGTGGATGAAACGATCTATAGTCTCGTACGCAGACCCTCTAATTTACAAATTGCCCTACAAAATCTGTCATATTTATAATGCTCTCGTATTTTTTCCCAGGCAAGTGTTCTGCTCTATGGACGACTGGTACGGCATGACGATGGCCGACATCCGAGCCATCGAGGACCGCACGAAGGAGGAGCTGGAACGACTGCGGCGCGAGGGTGAAGTGCGTGGGATGCGCGCCGAAAACGAGTAAACACCCCGCTCTCCCCTCGGGACGAATGTGTGAACGGTACGAGCCCTGCAGAACGTTGTTTGATTGTTACACTTTTATTCTTAGGCCCAGAATTAGGCCCGGTGAAACGCAACTGCAACGAAACTGCAACTTTCTGATGAATGAAACTGAAAGTTTCAAACTGGTCGCGTCGTGTGTGGTCTCTCAACGGACGCTATCGCAGAAACTTAGTTGCAACTCAAAAGTAACTAGCAGTTGCAGTTTCGTTGCAGTTGCGTTTCACCGTCTGTTCGGAGCCTTAAGGTCTTTAAGAGCGGTACGGAACGTGGATCTCTTCACTGTCGCTAAGATCCTGAGGGCTTAGTGTGAGTTTATATCAAACGTCGTCACTAGCGAGCGTATTAAAAAAATATATGAAGATTTTAGTTCTTGAACGTTTCCGCTAGGGGCGCTGTACGATCCGTCATACATTTAATGTCACTATTTACGCAGTCGACATCGGATGCGTTTGACGTAAACTCCACACTACGCCCCCTTAGCTAGAATACGGATATCACGTCGCTTACAGCGTAAACGATAGATTAAAGAAAAGGTATACCTTTTTCAGTGATAGAAAAGATTTGGACGCGTATTCAGAATTGGTACTGTTTGTCATATTATTTTGAAATAATGGCCAAAGTTTTGCATCGAGTTGTGAGGTTTTCTGAAGTGTAATTTGATGAGCCATATAAATTTAAAAAATCTACTAATTTGGCAAGTGGATAAAAGTTTAACTACTGATGTTTGTTATTATTATTTTTCTGAGAATCTACAGTCAAGAGATCGATACGAAGTTTCAGCTCGGGAGAAGGGCCTTTTTGCAATGAGAAAAAAGTATACGTTCACATTTTTGTCCTGTACCCAATGAGTTGTGCGCATACGTCGCATAGGTTGAGTCATGGGCGTAACTAGAAATTTAGTTGAATTCTGTCTTCCTTAAAATAAATAACGTGAGCAAGATTATTAATATTATATAGAAAAATATGACCTATGTCTGGGATATATTGGTTGGTGAAATTTTGCTTCAATTGTCGTCATATTATGTCTCATTTATAGACAAAGNAGCACCGGGACACTCCGGGATGAAGATGGATCGGCTTCACTTCCCCTGCAGGGGGTTCAGGTCACTAGCAATTTGGGCTTTGAATGCGGAGATGCGTTTGCTGCGTATGCGTTGTGCGTTATGATGCGATTTGCGGGAGATAAAAGTGCGGTTTTTTCACTCGCGAAACTGCGAATATGTGCGTTGCGTTTAAGTTCTTACGGTGAAGTGTGTCAAAGCTTGACGTTCAGAAACGCCAAGAATGACCACAGAGATGTGGAAACCAAACAGTTTTCTACCTGCAGACAAAACTATTTGGGAATTAAAAATAAACTAAAGTTGAGCGTACATCTGCGTAACCACCTGTAATAATAGTAGTGCTGGCTTTATTTAATCGGCATTATAAATCGACAATAGCAACGATTGTACAGCAATAATAAAACTTAACAAAAAATGCTTCTTGCGATTAGTTCAAGGAATTTTCCTTTCAAGTGTTTGTCGATGAAGTAATGGTGCGTATTCACCGAGAGCATTTATGTGTAACGAACATTCCCTTGTAGCATAAAAAATACTGCAATGCCAGACTTATCAATCAATAAAATAGTTATTATCACGTTTCAAGTTCATACAATCTATATTCGGCTCGTGTTGGCGTTTGTTCGCGAACCAATGCTCTTAGTGAATGTGAACCTTAATTATTATTAGAAGTGGCGCGCCCCACTCGCAACTCTCACGCTCATACAATGCCCGAGCCTCTGTCGCCTATCGATTCCACGAGGCGACACTACGAAAGTAAATATTATCTTGTATCCTAGGTAATGAAATAACATTGTGCTATTTAATTGATAGTTTTGATATCGTAGACGTTCGTTCGAATTTCATTATTTATCTTCGTAGTAGATTGACAAGACTGCAGGCAGTCTATTGCTCATAGTTTCGTGTTACTTGTTAATTGGTTAATGTGTCTAAATTTGATATAGCTCGTCTATGTTGTAATGTAAAAACTTTGATTTATATAATGATATTTCGTACCAAAGCGATAGCTTAGTTGAATGGGCAAGTCATCTAGCGAGGACGAGGTGAGGGCATCGTTTACCATTAGCAAAATATGTCATTCAGATGTGTGGTATAGATACTATTTAAATAAATAACTAATAAGTCGATGTAGTCAGTGGTTTACAGGTAGTGTTGTCGTTACCTAAATAAAAGTAATTCGAAACATTTTGACAACTACTCATTATCAACGAGAATCAGTGAAAATATCAATGGCGTCTCCATGGCCAGATTGAAGCTTCACTGTTTGATATTACTTCGTTCTGTTAGGTAAATATCCTGTGTAGTGCAGGGGTTTTTTGGCTGTTGTGTATTTATATTATAAATAAACACTTACTATAAGTATTTTGCGCAATAGTAACTTAGTTCTGGCACGGTGTTACAAGGAATAAAAATTAACGGTGCAATATATTTTTAACATGGCAACCCGCGAAATGTGAAATGGTAGTTGGGGTTATCGTCCCGGGTGTTGCAAGGTGAATGTTCTACTAACGTATGGCGGTGGGATGGTGGTTTATGTCATTAACACGGTTATATTTATTCCTATTATTATGGAGCTTAGGTTCAAATTGCAACACCCTCGAAAGTGATTGCATGTATATTCTATTAATAAGTTTTGTTGTTTAACAAATCAGTATTTTAATATGTGTGACATTCCAGATTCTATACCGATGATAAAGTTTTTAGTCTGATTTGCTACTTGATCTAATTTTCTATTAATTTTATAGCTCTCTGTGTGGTACCCGATATGTTATGCAGCTGTGCATACAAAATCAAGTTATATTTTACATATGATCAGTACAATGTATGTTATCAAATTAGTTTTATGTGAGTTTTCACTTTCTCAACAATGAAGTCAGTTGTGTTTATCGATGTTCCTTCATTTCAACCGTTGTACAACTCTGACCGAGCGTGTTTTGTATAATGCTTCCGTTGGCTTGTACGGAACCCCGGTGGATGCCGGAGCCAACGGAACCCCGATCCTTCGGTGGGTGCCGTTGTCCGCTTGGGTTTCGAACAAGTAGGTATCTATTATTTTGCTTAATTATGCACTTATTTTGTTTTTAAGTTTTTTTACTTATGTTGTAATAAGTTTTACATCAAATACAGCGTGATATATATATTTCATCATAGTCTTTTATTAGTAGACGTTAGAAAGTTGTCGCATCCCGCTTTTAGCAACGCCTAGAGCTTCTGTTTTTTTTAATGTTGATTTTTTATAATACAAGTATCAAGAAGAAAATCTTGACAGCTAAAAAGTACTTAATTATTTTGAAACGATTATAATTAAAGCACAATAAATAGATTTCAATAATCTTATTTTTCGTGCAAATAATATTTTCTGAGCTATTAGAAGTACTCGATCAGACCAAAATAACTGCAAATCTCGAGACAATATTGGTTTTCGTTTTTGTTTTCAACAAGTTTTATATTTTATTGACTGTATAATAAAGTGCCGTTTGCTTTTTTTAATGTTGTAGCTTATTTGTGGTAGTTACCAAATAAAATTAAGTACACTTGAAGATATTTTTTATTTTTACTATTCCTTCAAAGGCAGTTTTCAGGTTTAGTGTATTTAATTTTTATTTTCGCTTTATCTTGCAACATGGAATTTGTCCACCAATATAATATATAATTAAATTTAATAATCCAGTATTCTATATAGATAGTTTTGTGTCGGTAGCACATTATGAGTAATGGAGAAGTTCCGCAACTATACATAATAATAGTTAAATAGATTGCTAAAATTGTCAATTTTAAAAATGTTTAGCTAATTAAAAGTTTTGAAAGTTTCCGCATTGAAATGTAAGTATAATATTGTAATAACATTTGTTGTAAAATGTACTATGAATATTTTGAGGCCAACAGAAATAAAATTAATTTAATCTGTTATGTTTTGTTTGGTTTGTAGTTAGAAAGCAAACACATAAACCTGAGAAGATTAAAAAAAACACGATAGATATCAAGGATGTCTTTTATTGCAGTAAAAAGAACTGTTCACTTTAGAAATGAATAACGGAAGCTACATCTTAATTGGATGTAATATAAACAGTTAAAAATTATTTACAATATGTTCATAATAACATTGCACACGCTTACGCACGATCCGAGATAACAAAATATCACAGNGGAGAAAACATCCTTTTCTTCGTCGGGTCGTTCACGGGTTAACAGCGTTTTGTATTGCTCCGTACAGTTTTCTAAATAATCACAGTAAAATCAAACCTTTTACGGTCGGACTTACCGCTACACTGAAGTTAAGTGCACGGGCTTCCCGTCATTGCCAAAATCAAGCATAATATCGTTTAATATCAGTGACTTTTAGAAGAAATAGTGTGTGCAGTTTAAATATTATGCAACGGCCTACATGTCGATCACTACGCAAGCCCAAGGTCGCCCGGTGAGCGGTCACTAACCGGGCCCCCGGTGCTCGATCCCTCTCCAACATCGGACAACGCTGCGTCGCCCCGTCTCTGTCGCACGCTGACTAGCCGCCACTGCGTCTGTTGCTTACCTGCGCGTGAGTCATTTGAATAATCCGTACAATCTGTTGAGGCGATAAGAACTTTTACTCATTCATTATGAATTGCTCCGCTTGTAAATCAGTTGCAGTTACATCTAACTCGCTTCATTGCGTAGCCTGCAAAGGCTGCTTTCATTTTCAATGTCTCAATATGAGCCAAAAATACTTTAATACACACAATAAGGAACTGCGGCGAGTATGGCGCTGTGACTCATGCGCAAATATTACTAGACGTAACAGAACCGATGATACACCTGTCGCTTCGCCGTATAGACTGCAGGACTCGCGCGTTGTAACGCAATACGCTGCCGATATGTCCTGCGACGAGGACCTCGGCGACACTTCTTGCTTGTCCAGTGGCTCCGCCGGGGCCTCGCTGATTAAACATACTGATGCCTCGATCACAATGAAGCAGTTCAGCGACCTCATTGATGCAAAACTAGACAGTATCAGAATCACCCTATCCATGGAGATACAAGACAAAATCAAGTCAGAGCTTGAAAGAGCTGCAAATAACTTAAGACAGGAATTTGGTGAAACCACAGATTTCCTGCATGCTGAACAGAGAGACTTTAAAAAATCTATCACAGATGTCGGCAAAAGAATTGTTGAGCTTGAACAGCAAAACTGTAGCCTGCAGGCAGAGTTAAACAGCTTGAGTATGCGTCTTAAGATTGCTGAAAAGACATCTCGAAGCTGCAATGTGGAGGTCCAGTGTGTCCCGGAGAGGCGAAGTGAGAACCTTACCGATATTTTTAAGGACCTCTGCAAGGAAGTCGGTCTAAAAATCAATGACATGGATATCAGATCTTGTAGGAGGGTGGCAAAGCTGAATCCCACATCAAAACGACCTAGAAATATCCTTGTAACACTTCCGTCCGAACGATATCGCGACCAGGTCATTTCCTCTGTCAAGCGTTACAATTTAAAAAACACAAAATCACCGCTGAACTCTGGACATGTCGGCGTTCCAGGAGGGGAAAATTGCCCAATTTACGTTGGTGAACATCTCTCTAAGGAGACCAAAGAGCTGCATGCTGCGGCACGTATGGCGGCCAAGGACAAAAACTATAAGTATGTTTGGGTGAAATACGGACGTGTTTATCTAAGAAAGGACGACAGCTCACCGTCTGTGCACCTTAAAGACAAAACTTCTCTTGAAAAGCTAGCGCTGTAGTGTTATGCTTATTACTGTGATTTTAATTTATTATTTTGTTATTGTAATTTATTAATTAATTTGCTCAACATGCTATTGAATTATTATTAATTTAATTTTATGCGTATATTTTACCAAAATGTAAACAGAATTCGATCTAAATTAAATCAACTTTATTTTAATTTATTATTTTGTTATTGTAATTTATTAATTAATTTGCTCAACATGCTATTGAATTATTATTATTTTATTTTATGCGTATATTTTACCAAAATGTAAACAGAATTCGATCTAAATTAAATCAACTTTATATTAATGTTCTGAATGATAATTACGATATAATTTGTTTATGTGAGACAAACTTAGACGGTTCTTTTTCTGATGGGGAGTTTGTGGATGACAGGTACATAGTTTTTCGTAGGGATAGGGAAACTAGTTGCTCGCTGAAGCGCTCTGGAGGAGGCGTTCTAATGGCCATTAAGAGGAGTATCCTGGCGTCTAGACGTCGTGAGTGGGAGAGCGACATAGAGGATCTCTGGATTACTGTCAAGGGCACTAAATCATCTGAACACTATTCCCTCAATATTTGCCTAGCATATTTGCCTCCCGACCTTGGTTTATTAAATGCTACAGGTTTCTTTGACAAGTGCTGCAGAACTCTCTTAGATCATATTAATGATAGCTCAAAGACGATCATTCTCGGTGACTTCAATTTGCCTCACTTGTCGTGGTCACGTGATATTACAGCCCCTTCGCGACTTGTACCCAGCGCTGCGTACGACGCTAAATCAGCTCTTCTTATCAACTTATTGGACCTTGGCGGACTGTACCAATATAACTTTGTTCACAATCATAATAACAGAATTTTGGACCTGTGCATGACTGACTTGTGCGCTTTGGAACTGTCTGAATGCTCTCCTCTTTCCACCCCTGACCGTCATCACCCTGCTGTGGAGATCAGTACTGAATTATTTTCCTCTTTAAAAAATTTACCATGTAGCAACATTAAAATCCGTAATTTTCGCAAATCGAACACAATCGCGTGCACAGAACAACTCAATAGTGTCAACTGGGCTAATATATTGAATAGTGCTGACGTTAATGTGGATGTTGATAACTTCTACAAAAACTTAAATGATATAATTGACAATAACACCCCACTGAAACGAATCGGTTCTGCCAGATATCCAAGCTGGTTCTCCAAACCTNAAAAACAAAAATCACTAAAATCATTATTCCTAATTAACTGAATGCGTTCACGAAGCACTTAATACGCTTATTACGTGTAGTTTTAATAGCTCTATGAAGTATTACAACAATTCTGAATTAAATGTTATTAGTTAACGAGTGAGAATATTTTTGCATAATTTTGAAGTAAAAAAATAGGTAACTTTGAATTTTTATACCGCGAAAACTACTTGGAATTTTCAAACGGGAGTTTTACTATCATGTTTGTATAACTGAGCTCTATACGTTTCATCAAATCAATGAGAATGTCCGTTTATACAGTCCCATAACACACTGTGCATTGTTTCAAAAACTACACAAACACAATACACACTTATTCTATCAGATACGTACACACCTAAAACTACACACCCCACCACAATATTCCCCAGCACTACTAATCTCACATGTAAATCTGGTTTTCAGTTACGTACTTACCAATGTATTTTCTTATTCTGCTCGATCAAAATCAAAAATATACAAACTCTATCAATATTGCTAGCAAAAACTTTTAATCTTTACATTTCTAATGGATAACTGTTTAACATACATAAATGGCATAGACAGCACAGACATAGCAGAGTCATTTAAATGTCCTATTAATGATTTCTCATCTGTTATGACAATGCAGGCATCTGATCTCACATTACTCTCCCAAAATATACGTAGTGTCTATACGAACTTGTATGACTTGCAGTTAAACTTGTGCAACTTTAGTGTGCAACCAGATATTATCATTAAGTGAATGCAGAATAGACTTAAGCAAAAATATACCTCAAATTGAAAACTATATGTCGTTTCACACAACTAAACATATGAATATGGCTGATGGCGTCGTTGCCTATATTAAAGATGTGCACAAATGTACTGTAAAAGAATTATACTTGACGCATGCATCTGGTCTACAAATAAGTATTAATGATATAATTATAATAGGTTTATATCGCTCCCCATCTATTAAAAATACTGATGACTTTACGGATTCCTTAAACCAACACTTAAATACTATTGGTAAATATTAGGAAAAGAAACGAGCTCACAAGAAGTTTAAAAAGAAGGAAAAGAAACAAGCTCACAAGAAGTTTAAAAAGACATCCAATCCGAGGGCTTATGATGAGTTTAGGCTCCTAAGGCAGAGGTCTAAGAGGCTGATTAAAGTCTGTTACATGTCTTTTGTACAAAATGTTGAAAAGTCTCTTGCTGACTCCACAAAATTATTTTTTTCATTTGTTAAAAGCAAAAGAGGTAATCCATCTATGCCTGATGAAATGCATTTTAATAACGTGACCGCCCGCGGTGGCGTGGAGGTGGCAGAGCTTTTCTCCCAATACTTTTCGTCTGTGCTGCAGCCTAGCAACGATATTGATTCTTGGTGCCCTGACGGTCACATGGTTTCCTACTCTCTCCCAAGTGCTCCTGTCTCGGTGGAGGATGTACATAGAAAACTTCTGGGTCTCGATGTCAATAAGGGAGCGGGCCCGGACGGCATTCCCTCATGCTTTATAAGGTCATGCGCCAGTGCTCTCTCTGAGCCGCTTCACATATTGTATACTAAATCGCTTAATTCCGGCATTTTCCCTGATAAATGGAAAACGGCCCACATCGTTCCCATTCACAAGTCTGGTGACCTGAGTGACTGCGCTAACTATAGACCGATTAGCATCCTCTCATGTTTTGCAAAAATTTTCGNTTGTTTTTGGTTGCGATCGGGGATGGTCGACAACATGACCGCGCGGCCCTACGGAACGGATTTTCGGCTGTTATCTCATCGACATGCTTTCAGAAAACAAATGGGTAAATTGGCATCCAAAGGATCAAAAAACGAAGGTGTCAAATGTAATAAAAATAAATAAAGTCTCCAAAGTAAGTGTAACTGATAGACTAGATAAATTAAGTGCAGCCCGATTGTAACTTGTACAGCTGCAAATTGAAACTACCAGGAAGCAACATCAGTTCACAGAAAATCATTCAATCGATTTGTTCGGATAATTTGTGTCCATCCATTCTGTTACTTCTCCTGATTTGCCACTTAATCTGATTCGAGACATGTGATTTCAGCATGATGGCTGCCCTGCACATTTCAGAAGAAGTGTCAGAGAATGGATGGACACAAATTATCCGAACAAATGGATCGGACAAGGTGGGCCTTTACCCTGGCCAGCCGGAAGTTCAGACCTAAACCCCATGGATTTTTATGTGTGGGGGCACATGAAGATTCTCGTGTACAGTGAGACCAACCCAATTTCGTCAGTTGAAGTATTGAGAGACAGGATAAATAATGCGGCCAATGAAATGAGAAGGACTTATAACTAATAATACCCAAAGCTGTTTCTTGCATTGTTGTAAAGTTGTTAAACTTGGTGGTTCTTGGCGTTTTTGTACTTGCTTTCGTTTTTTTTCCGAGTGACAACAGCTGTTGATATTCGAGTATGTGTTTCGACTTTAAGTGTATTTTTAAGGAGGTGGTGCCACCTCCTTTGCGAGAAAACGTTTTGCCACAATTTTTGCATTTTGCAAAACCAACACCACCATATTATGCTTGACGTAAGACGCATTTTAGTTTGCGTTTGCTTTGTACAACTGTACACCCACAATTACATTCACAAATTAAAAATTCGTACTCAAAGATCGTTTAAAATTAAAAAAAAAAAAAAATATTTTAAATAATATACTTTTAAAATTAACTCGTAACTTGCATTCTTATTTAAAATTATTCATGGAAAACATTGGTTTTAGGCTTTACTTGCTAATATTATCAAGTAATGAGTGCCATTACTGTGGCAGTACTAAATGTATGGAAGCTAGTAACATTGAATTTTTGGATATATCCAGTCTGTAACCTATTACTGACTGATATCGTTTGAAAGAGCTCGTGAAGCACTTTCAGGATCAGTAATCAGTTTTTGGGTATCTTGTGTCGTTTAGAAATAATGGAGTGACATCACTTATCGTTTCCACCCTGTATAATGTATCGATAGAACCAAAATGATGTCCTCTCAGCTTGGAAAAGTTTATTGCCAAACAAAAATGCAATGAAACAAATCAATAAAAGAGTGCGCGCCAAATCAAAGATGAGAGAACCGCAAACTTTAGCAGAGATTAATGTGCCCGATGATTTAAAAAATATCAACGGAGAACTGTTCTTGGTTTCAAACGAAAACTGGAAAGAAAATGAAAAAGTGATGATTTTCTGTAAAAGAAATAATTTGATCAAATTAAAAGACTCTCTTGTCTGGATTATGGATGGAACGTTTCAAACGTGCCCATTTATATTTGCTCAATTATATTCAATACACGGTCTTATAGGCAGTGGAGATAATACAAGAGCTGTGCCGCTCGTGTATGCGTTTTTGTCAAAGAAAAGTCAAGAGTGCTACGTACACTTCTTCACGGAGCTAAAGCGTTATGCAGATTCAATATTCGACTTTAATGAAAACGAAGACACTTTTGCTCCACCTATAGTATTGACAGACTTTGAGCTTGCGGTTATAAATGCCGTAAGAGTTGTGTTTCCTGGAACAGTCCACAAGTGTTGTCTATTTCATTTGGGACAGAATGTTTGGCGACGAGTTCAGGAGTATGGGCTGCAACAAAAATATGTTGAAGATGGCGAATTTTCTCTTAAGATCATCGCTTTAGCGTATTTACCACCTATAGAGATACCGTCAGTTTTTGCACTTTTGAAGGAAAATGTTTTTCCAACAGATGATACTCGAATTGTGGAATGGTTTGAAACTAATTACGTGAACGGCAAACTGATATCGCGAAATACTGGTGACTCAAAACTAACTATACGTAGAACAGTTCCACTATTTCCTACAGAATTGTGGTTAGTGCACCAAAACAACATCAGTAATTTGCCGAGGACACAAAATAAAATTGAAGCGTGGCACAGACGCTGGAACTCCTTAATGGATAATAAAAAAATGGGTCTTTATACCACAATTGGTGAGCTAAAAAAAGAACAAGCAGCCACCAACTTAACAATTGCCAGAATGGAAAGCGGGGTACCAGCTACTCCACCTAGAAAGAAAAAGAGGATGCATCAAGAAGCAATCTCGCGGTTTCTTGAACGGCGTGACGATAGTATGGATGTTTTTCAATTTCTGAAAGGAATAGCAAGCAGTTCTTTTTTGTAGTACGTATCATACACAATAAGATACTTTAACTTTACTTTAAACATGTACTAATTAATTACTTTATTTCATTATTTAAATACACAATTATGTATGATTACAAAATTGTTTTTTCTTAATACTTTACCTTTTAGTACAAAATTTGGTAGGAAAATATTACTTACCCACCCTGAGAAGTTCGTTATTTACCCACCGCAACTTTTGATGTCATGACACTGATTAAACAACCGATTGAATTCATGACTTTTAATATGGAGTAGATGTAGCGACCCGTTGATGCATAGTTGTCGATATCTAGACAATAGATACTTCAACGTTCGATAGCAAGTATGAAACCCGCCGAAGATGGATCTGCAGAATACAGATATTCGGAGGCTTTAATAAAAGCACGTTCTTTAATTGAAAGATGCAATGGAGTACTTAAAGGGAGATTTAGGTGCCTCCTTAAAAAGAGATTACATTACAAGCCAAATAAGGCAACCAAAATCATCAATGCAACATGCATTGTACTGCACAATATGTGCATTGCACACAATGTCCCTGATCCTGGCATGTCTCCGGATGAGGATCTCGGATTTATTCCACAACAACCACCATCAAGAGGTGGTAAAACTTCGATTTATTTTTAATCAGGCACAAGGCAAGCAAAAAATAATTGACAATTATTTAATTTAATTATGCTTGGTTCACTCATCATGTCTATGTATAGGCGCTCATTATTTTCGGGGAAAAAAGAAGGTTGAATAGTTACTTAACTCTGGTGCAGGCATAGACGATGTACAGGAACCAAAGTTCAAAATCGTGATCAAGTGCACTGTCATACAGACTTCTACATCCTCTGTATCCAGTGAAAATAAACTCTGTATCCTGCTGAAGAAAATACTTATCCTTTCCTTTCCTTGGACATTTTACACTGCGCGTCTAGTCCCAAACTAAGCAAAGCTTGTACTATGGGTACTAGACAACGGATATAAACATACTCAAATACTTTTTTTTTGTAAATACATACATACTTATTATACATAGAAAACACCCACTTATCGAATAAGATACACCATACAAAAATGCGTGGCAAAATCAGAGAACTGATCCTGAATCAACAACTTACCTACTACTGCTATTTCTATTTATTTTATTTCAACCGGCAGATATTGGTCGCTTTTTCTCAGCATTCGCCTTTTAATGTTGATGACGAAGCGCTGTGCTGTCAAAATATGGACTTGTGCTTGATGGTGCAGGAAATCGCTAATCAAGAAAATGATGATTCAAGCGTTTTTATGGCAAGTTTAGTAAGTACAGATTGTGAGAAGCTAATATTAAGTCTGTAAAGAATTGGACCAATCGCGAATTTCTTTCACGATTTTGGACCAATTGCGAATTGGACCAATCGCGCCTAAACGGTACAATTTTGCTTGAGCTCACGTCCATTGATCGCGTTGAATGAGACATGACATGGCCCTCACACCAGGTCATTTTTTAATTGGCGAGACGCCTATCTCAACGCCAGATGAGGATTTAACAGAAATTAAAAAGAAAGAAACCTTATTTACAACAAAAGTTACAATAGTTTTGTAAACGCTGGAGTTAAGAGGACCTTACAAAAACAGACACAAATGAACTGGAGTTCAAGAAAATATAGCTGTAAATGACACTGTGTTAATTTTTGAAAATAGCAACATTTAGAATTTTATGTTGGTAGTAATATCAATATTATGAGGTTGGTAGCAATGACTAGCAATATGGCCTACTTCTATGTAAATTGTCTCTGTTCATTACGGTGCAAATAAATAATTTCAAAAGTAAAAGGTTCTTCTTAAAACACCGGTATTGGCGGCATGGTAAAAATTCACGTTGACTCATTTTGTACTACAATTACTTCAAATAGCCAAAGGGCTGAGCCTAGGAGCTGAAATTGGACAAGCTGGAAATTCCAAGTTGTAATCCTGAAGGCGTTATGTGCTTACGACGTAGTGGATGGCTCACGTCCATGCCCCCACCCAACAGAGGACATATAAGCATATTATTCGATTAGCATCCTCTCATGTTTTGCAAAAATTTTCGAATCATTAATTTACGATCACTTATACCATCATCTCAGTCCTCACATTCACCAGCAGCAGCACGGCTTTGTTAGAGGCAAGTCAACAATGAGTAATCTCCTGGAATACAATGACTTTATTTGTAACGTTCTGAGTGGCCGGGGTCAGGTGGACGCAATATACACAGATTTTCAAAAGGCGTTCGATAGAGTCAGCCACAGGGTGCTATTTCACAAGCTGGAGTTCATGGGCATACATGGTTGTCTTCTCCGCTGGTTAAGGTCCTACTTATCAAACCGTAGCCAACTTGTTGCTTTAAAGGGTTACCACTCGCAACCGGTCCCGATTACGTCTGGGGTTCCACAAGGATCACACTTGGGTCCTTTATTTTTCATCTTGTACATCAATGACTTGGTTCCGAGACTTAAAAATCTCAAGTTGCTTTACGCTGATGACTTAAAGATTTATGCACAGGTATCCACTTTACAAGATTGCCAGATCTTACAACTGGACCTGGACATATTACAGGAATGGTGCGGTCAAAACGGTATGTCACTGAATGTCGGGAAGTGTTCGGTGCTGACCTTCACGCGCACTAAAAGTCCTCTGATTTTCCAGTATAGTGTCAAGGGCGTCCCTCTAGAGCGGAAGCAATCGGTCCGGGACCTCGGCGTTATCTTCGACTCGGAACTGAGCTTCAGGGACCATTATGATGCGTTATGCAGAAAGTGCAATCAACTACTGGGTTTCATATGTCGCATGTCTAGGGAATTCAAGTCGCACAAAAGCGCGGTCTGCTTGTTTCGTTCTCTGTTACTGAGTCGCCTTGAGTATGCGTCCATTATCTGGTCACCTCAGTACCAAACGCACATAGATAGGATAGAGGCAATACAGAGGCGTTTTCTCAGGGTATTAACGTACAGACATGGATATAAGGGCAAACTACTTACCTATAGCGATCGACTGGATCATTTTGAACTGGTCAACCTCGAGACGCGTCGCAAAGCTCATGGAATATTCTGCTTATTCAAGATCCTCAATGGGTCGGTTTCTACAGCGACCTTGTCTCGAGTCCAAATTAAAATACCAAAACGTTCCCTTAGAGTCCCCCGAACATTCGAAGTGCCACTATGTACCAGTAACGCGTCCTCTCACAGCGCCATGCATAGAATCTGCCGAGACTTTAACAAGCTCACACCCGATATAGAGGAGGTGCCTGACATCTACAGCCTTACCCTAAACAAATTCAAAAAAGCTGTTAATGAATTGTTACTTAAATAATTCCTCTCTCATCTTTATTTCTTAGAGAATTATTGATTTAAATTTCATTATATTTATTAATAACTTGTTTCCATTATTAATTAACATTAAATAATTATTTTTATAATTTACGTATTATGTATAATTATTGTTAACTCGAATAGCATTGTATGTTGTGTGCACTTTTTATTGGAGCTGCAACAAGTTTTACTGTATAGCCTGCTTTAAAAGCTTTGTATGTTATGGTTGTATCCCTGTTTTGTGCACCAAATAAAATAAATAAAAATAAATAAATAAATATAAAAATATAATTCTGACAGGTGATATTAATATAAATTTAATATTTAAGCCTGACGAAACATCACAGGTTCGCACTAATAGAACTAACTACTTAAATATGTTAGCTACTCATGGTATGCTCCCAGGACATATATTGCCGACTAGAGGTGAAAGTTGCATTGATCACTTTATGATAAAACTAGATATGCCTAACAAAGCTGCAACTATTGCTGTTCTAGACGCTACTATAACTGACCACTCAATGATTTTCTTAAAATTAGCTAACCCAGGAGTTGTGCATTGTAATAAAAATATAAAATCCAAACAAATAGTAAACTACAGAAAAGTATTGGAATGTCTTAAAAGTAATAACTTTAATGAATTGTTGACCCTCTCTGATCCGAACCTTATAACACAGTTTTTAATCAGTACTTTACAAAAAACCCTAAGATTAAATACCAAAACAATCGTAATCCCCTGCAAAGAGCGCATAATCAAGGCCTGGATGACTCCGGGTGCCCTCCGTTGCATTAGAAATAGAAATGCCATGCAAAATAAATTAAAAATAGATCCTGATAACCAAACGCTTAAAATTACGTACAAACGATATCGCAATTTTTGCACAAATATGATTAGAACCTTAAAGCGTAACTATGATAAAAAGCAACTTGAAAACGCGGTTAAAAACCCCAGAAAACTTTGGTCTGCTATCAATAGTATAACACAGCGTAAACCCCCCAAAGCTCAAAATTCGGAACTACTTGAAATAGCAGACTCACCTCGTGAGTCGTTAAATAAAGTGAACGTATTTTTTGCTACTGTTGGGAGAAAGTTGGCGGAAAGCATTGACACTAGCAAAACAACATCCCATATTATGGGTGAGGATGGTTTTCTGTCTCCTGTTTCATCTTTTGTACTTTCGAAAACTGATCATAAAGAGGTTTACTCTACTCTTATGACCATGAAAACTGATAGTGCCTCGGGTTGGGACAAAATTCCTACATTTTTCTTAAAACTTGCACATAAAGAGATTGTGCCTATCCTGGTACATCTGACAAATCAATGTTTTGAGCTTGGTGTTTTCCCAGCCCAGCTTAAGCAGACAATCATAACACCTGTGCATAAGAGTGGTGAAAAGATGGATCCATCTAATTATCGACCTATATCTGTGATAACAGTGGTGGCGAAGATACTTGAAAAGTTAATAAACACGCGACTCATTGGGTTCTTCACTAAGTTCAAACTTCTCTCCGACTCGCAGTACGGCTTCCGCAAAAACCTGTCTACCGAGGATGCGGTTTTGGCTTTGACATCTCTAATTGTTGAAAACGTAGACGCTGGTAATAAGTGTTTAGCTGTGTTCCTCGACTTGAAAAAAGCCTTCGATACAGTTTCTATACCCATTCTGGTGCGCAATCTTCAGTACATGGGCATTAGAGGAACACCGCTCAAACTACTTGAAAGCTACCTTTGCGACCGTGTTTCGCGTGTTGGGGTGAGGAATGAGCTAAGCTCTGAATGTACCGTAGATTATGGGGTACCACAGGGTAGCGTACTCGGCCCTACCTTGTTTTTAGCATACATAAATGGCTTATGTAACATGCAGATTGATGGTGGTAGCATTTTTTCATACGCTGATGATACAGCTATTGTCTTTGCGGCTGAAAACTGGGAAATACTAGAGCAACAAGCTGAAGCGGGTCTGTCTCGCATTGCTATCTGGCTAAACGCTCATCTTTTGACACTAAATGTCCAAAAGACAAATTACATCTGTTTTAGTAAATACAGTAGCAGCCAACCTACTTCTAACTTTAAAATTTGCATCCACCAATGCGATAAAAGCACTGATACATGCTGCTCCTGTACTAAGCTGCAAAAGGTGACCACGGTAAAATACCTGGGCGTCACCGTTGATCAGCGTTTGTCGTGGCACGGTCATATTGAATTGATTATGGGCAGAATTAGGAAGCTGATCTGGACTTTCAGGACGCTGCGGTATGTAGCCTCTGAACGTCTTCTACGACAAACTTACACTTCTATGGCCCAATCAGTTATTGCGTACTGCCTACCTGTGTGGGGCGGGGCAAATAAAACTCGGTTTATTGATTTGGAAAGAGCCCAAAGAGCACTACTGAAGGTCATATTCTTTAAGCCGCGAAGGTTTGCAACAGAGCTGCTCTACTCCAGTACGGAAATCCTAACTGTAAGGAAATTATACATTTTGAATGCCATCCTGAGGATGCATAAAACGCTTCCTTACATACCTATTGGGAATAATTCTAGAAGGACATATAACGTCGCTACAAAACTAAAAATAAAGTCTGTTTTTGCTGAAAGGCAATTTGGTAATAGAGCCGCTATTCTATATAATAAAGTGAATAGGGAACTTAATATTTACCCGTTATCTTATGTCAAGTGCAAACATATTGTAACTGAATGGTTAAAGTTAAAAAATTATGATGAAACAGAATCTCTGATGACAGGTTAAAGATACTTTAATTTTAAAAATATTGTAGNAAATAGTTAATAAAATATTTTTCAGAAATAAAGCAGTAGCTCCAGTGCAGCAAATACTTATCGCATTATAATACTATGCTTGTGATTTTCTGAATAAAGACAAATAAAAATAAAATAAATAAATAAAATTCTTTTCAAAGATGCGTTAGTGATACAGCTGGTGTATAACATAAGACATAATTTAAATATCTGTTAGCATACTATAACATATAATATGTATACTAGTTATCTCAATGCAGATGCACTAGACAGGCAAGAAGGAAAACCTTAAAAACCAATTTGACGGTGAACAGTCCACACAAAGATTTTTTTAAGAAAACAGTGACACTACGCAATAATAAGCCAAGAAGTGCAGTCCATATGCATAACAGTGAATAATTGGTCATTTGTATGTCATGACTCAATGATGGCAGTTACTGGCCATTACATCAAAGAAGAGGGATTTGAACTTATAGTCTATCCAATATAGCTTGATTAGAATGACGGCTGTCAAACGAATGTGACTAGTGATGGGTATGTTTCGTACGGTTCACATAGATGTATCGATAAGTTTTCGAAAAAATGATATGAAAAAATGCACCCAATTTTTCTTCATATATCTTTATTCATAAAAATGACAATTATGATTTAAATTTAAAGACAGTAAAATGTAAAATTCATGTCAAGGGTGTACAACCTAAGTCGTAGTCATTATCATCAGTGTTCTTCAGTGGCAATGATATTAAAGAACTATAGATATGTTACGTTCATAGAAATTACGATTTGAATCCGTGCCGAGCTATTCCAAATTGCACACATTGACAAATGTAACTGATAAGTGAAACAAAAGATACGAAATAGCACGCAAATGAAAGAGATAGCTATAGTTTTAACGATTCTGCACTAACTAATCTATGTCCGCAGCGCACGCATCCTTATCGCTCTAACGTCAAAACAAGATCGCTTTCTCTTTCTTAACTTAAACATGGCGCATGGCGTCTTGATTGTTTGCATAAATAATTGAAAATATAAATACTAAATAATTTTGCATAATCACATGTGGTAAGAGATCCCTTGTATTTTGTTTACTTTAGAGTCATAATTGGTACACTTTCGAAACACACACGATGGCATTTTTTATTTATTTTGGTAAGAACAGGAATTTACGGTGTGGTACGCACGCGATTGCGCACGACGCAGGCCACACGAAGACTAAACACAAGACGTCCCAATTGGGACGTATTNCGTTAATACTCTAGCTTAATTTTTATAATTTCGACTTACTACTTATTGGTGTAATTTAACGCTGCATTTACACGAAATTATCATTTTTATTGGAAGCACTGTCGTCGAAAATATTGTTTGTAGGTCAGACGTGAATTATTTCTTGTCCGCCAATATTTAGCTCTCATTGATCGCTACTACAAAGTTATGTCGTTACTTTTGATGACAGCTGTCATTCTAATCAAGCTATGTTGGATAGACTATAAGTTTGTTCTAATGGATTGCGTTCCATTGATTGAAGTCACATAGACAAATATCTTCCGCGTGTATTAAAAGGTATTTGACGATTGGGGGCAAATATCAAAAATGCTTTAGAAAAAGAACTTGGTTGGCAGCATTTCTCATGTTACACACATACCCTAAATTTAGTGGTAAATGACGCACTAAAAGACTGTTCAGGTACACATGCTTTCAATGAGCACGGTACGATTGCGCGGAACCTATTTAAATCTGCCGCCAACTCCATCCCGCCAAAACTTACACGGCGAGCGCGCGCTACTACAGCAGCGCCGCGCTCCACGACGGCAAACGAACGAAAACTACGCAACGCGTTCTCTCGCGTTTGGGCCGGCATCGCGAGTGCCACGCTTATTGTGTGCTCCAACGGAAATGTGAAATTTGGTGACTTTTGGGAAATGTTTTGTGTGTGAGGCCTCCACCATACTGTGCTTGACGTTAGTGACTCAAGTGAACCACCGAAGGCACCGGGTGAAGCCCTAACTACCGGCCGGCGGCGTCCTACAGAGTACCTACCAGCAGCGCGGCGGCAGACGAGGTACCTGTTCGATTGTTTCTGTGTTTTGTTGATTGTGTTGTGCCTGGACGACACTGGGGAACTCATATTCGGATAAGCTATCGAAGTAGTTAACAAAGACAAAGATTTTACCGACATTTTAAGCAAGGTAAAAATGATCGTCCGAAATTTCAAGGAGAGCAACGTCGCCTGGGAAAAGCTTAAAAATACCAAGAGCAGACCGGTAGCGTACCTAAGATTGATCCAGAAAGTACCTACTAGATGGAACTCCTCGTTCGCAATGCTGAATGCTGATGCTTGCTTAGGGCGGCTTGCACCATTTCGGGGTCTTTTCTCTATCTTATCCAGGCATTTTACTACAATGTACAATTTTCCGAGTGGTACACAGAAAAGACGGCATTCGATAGCGACTTTAAAAACAAAATTTTTTGGACGGACGAAGCGTCCTTCACAAGATCAGGGCTATTTAATTGCCACAATGCACATTTTTCCCGCGGGCATCGAAAGACTCCAGCTTTCAGCCGGTGCTGAACGTTTAATCGCTACCGGTGTAGCGAAAGTTTGGGCGGGAATGATTGACGATCGCGTTTTGGGGCCATTCTTTTTGCCACGAGCTTATATGGCCACTAACTGATAAAATTTTCTGCAACTCAATTTAAAGGAAATGCTAGAGGAGCTACTGTTGGCCACATACAGAGGGCATGTTCCAGCACGACGGGGCTCCCGCCCATTACTCAATTGGATGCCGGTAATACTTAAATCAGCGATTGGGCACTTGGATCAGACGTGGTGTCCCAGTACCGTGGCCTGCGCATTCACCTGACATCACTCTACTTGATTTTTTCTTGAGAGGTCATGTCAAGAATGAAGTCAACGCAGTGGAATCCGCCAATGAAGATGAAATGCGCATTCTTATTCACAATGCCTTCGCCACCATAACACCGGCAATGCTTACGACGAACACCATAAGTTCCGTAAGCCAAATTATTCGTAGAGCAATTTTTTTAACATTTTATTTCCCAGACCAATTCTTCATAAAATGTTATGTGAATGACAAGTGTTAATTAACTGTCAAATGTGAAAAAGATTACAAATTAATTAAAAAACAACCCAAGCTCCACTATAATATTCCTGTAATCTAATGGCAACTATCAAAAAATAAATTTCTGTTTCAGTGCCAACGGCAAGAATAGTATCACATGCCCAAGTGGAGACTCTGCTAAGTCTCTTGGAGGCTAACATTGAAATAACGCGTGTTCGTGTGATGGGGGGTGCCTTGGCCAGTCAGTGCGTCGATTGTGGTGTCGATGAGTTCTGGCGCAACACGGCGCGGACACTAAACACGTTTAAAGAGGCCCAAGCCTGGAAAACGGTTAGGCCTGTTTTTTTACTGACATTAACCAGTAAACTGATCAACATACTTACACAACAGCGTCTAAGATGTATCTAAATTTTTCAGTATTGGCGTGAACTAAAATACCGGACACGGAAGCGGGACACAGCAATCCGGCAACCCGGTCGAAACTTCGGCCAAAAACAGGTCATTAACAGCCGTACCACTATTCCAAGACACATGAATTACTTACCTGTGACCGTTACTACCAATACTCTAGAGTCTAGACTAGAGGCGTGGCACTCAAAATTAAACCGAGCAGTCAGTAAGAAGAATCTTGAAATTTTAAATGACGACATCCTGTGTTATTCTTCACATGAATAAAACAGAACCTCTTAAAAAAAGGATCTAATAAGTTCATTCTTACTGACGAATTTATTCAAGATGCTCAATTAGTAATATTATGTGGAGAGGAGGGAACATAACTGTCGTTCATTGCTTATCTGTATGCTTTGTTAAGATAGTATTTTATTGTTTCCAAGATGAGGAGTCTGAACCTATCTGAGCGGGGATTTTAAAAAGCTACTTATCACGCCGAACTGGTTCAGGATATACGCACCAGAGCGAGCCTACGAAGCGAGGAGAATATTACATCGAGTTCCGCATCTCTAACTTTCGAGAGCTGGAGGCTATTCCATTAGCCGATTGCTGACAGCATTCTCTGATCAACTTTAAATCAGCTGTCGACGAGAAAACCCCAAAGTGGAAGTGTTACCCAGTTGGTATCATGCATAAAAGAAGACTATCGCAACGTTCGCCCAATTTTGTATCCAACTAAGCGTTAATTTTATTTAGTGTTACATAATGCACCAGATTTAATTCGCTGGTTTCTTTCAGAAATCTGTAAATCAAAACTCAAATACAAAGTCTATAAAGTCTAACCGTCTTATTACAAAACGTAGACTAAGTTTAAAACTGGTTTTAAACCTGGTCCTAACTATGGACTAGAAAAATTCTTATTACAAAACAAGTTTTATCACTAATTCTGGAACTATGTGTGGTACTAAAGATAAAACCGCAAGACCCCTAGTTTAAGCTTGGACCAAATTTTAGTAATTTGTGAACATTTGATTTTGACGTCTTTATCTTATGTCAAATGTCAAATCGCTTTTGTGAATTGGTTAATTTGTGGGTTAATTCGTTTCCAATTTTGATCTAAAATGGATATAAATGACATGGATCTGATGGATTTTGAGGACATGGATTCTATTGAACCGTCTCGGCAAACCATACGATACATCCGCAACCGTCGCCGAGCAAATCCGTTTTTACTAGAAGAACCTGACTTCAAAAGTAAATACCGTTTTTCGAAACGTTTTGGGCAAAAATTGGTGGATTTGTTACGAGAGGATTTGGCACACGATCCTCGAGGCTGCCCCTTAAGCCCTGAGCTGCAGGTGGTTTGCGCCTTACGCAACTGGGCTCGCCACGAAGTAAGTGCTATTCAAACTTTAATATTGATAGATATTTTAGTCGAGAAACTTAAATTACAGTCTTGTCTTGTGATTTTGTTCATAGATTCAAGATGATACAGCTGATTTGCATGGTGTATCACAACCAGTTATCAGCAAGACATGCAAAAAGGTGGCAGAATGCCTCTCAAGAATTTCCCGAAGATTTATCAAAATGCCTGCAACATTGATAGATCAAGAAGAGAGTATGAGGAAATTCCGAAGCATAGCTGGCTTTCCTATGGTAATAGGTGCAATAGATTGCACTCATATAAGAATAAAAAAAGTGAGCGCCGATGGGGGTCAATTGTACATCAATAGGAAAGGATACCCTTCAATTAATGTATAAGAGTCTAAGCCCAAATTAAATAAAAAAAAAAAACAAAAAAATATAACTATAAAAATATTTGAGTTTTGAGTGTACCTATCATTACTAATTTCATTTTTGATGGCAACTTTGTTCCTTAAATGCGAATATGTTATATCCAGGTATACAGGTGGTGTAGAGCAGGGTTTCTCAAACAGGGGTACGCGTACCCCTAGGGGTACGCCATTCGAGGGCAAGGGGTACGCGACAACATTTACGTAATGGCGGCTCTATAACTGGAAGGCGCGCATGACCGACATGCATAGCGGCGCGCACGCGACTGACTGAATTCGTAGCTCGCTCGCTCTCGCGCGACTCGCGCGCCACGCCGCCCTCCCCCGCCGTTTACGAGTACTTACACTGTACTCCGTTTTTGATTCATTTGTTTTACTTTAATGTGTGAGCATATGCGCTTTTTTCGTTGACAGTAAAATAAAAACAAAGTACTTTCAATACATTCACGCGGTTAGCTAGTTTTCAAAATGAATGAGTGGTTAAAAACTGGGTCATTACGCAGAAAATGTCCAAGTAATACATCCAGTTCGCAACCTGCACAAAGTACATTTACTCCAACTGCGTCTACTTCTGCTGAAAGTTCAGTTTTAAACGAAAATCCTGCGACATCGAGAGAACAAGAAAACACAACATCATCGACAAAAAAAAGGAAATATGACGAAGATTATCTGAAAATTGGATTTACGTGCAAAGAAGAATCTCAGTACCCAGAGCCACAGTGTGTAATATGTTCAGAAGTTCTCGCAAATAGCGTGATGAAGCCATCATTGCTGCGAAGACATTTGGAAACAAAACATCCGCAGTATGTAGACAAACCTATAGATTTTTTTGTTCGAAAAAAGAAAGAGTTGGATTCTTCGAAAAAGACTATGAAAACCGTTTTGGCTACTAACTCTGAATATTTACGTGCGTCTTTCCTTGTGGCATATAAAATTGCAAAGACTGGCAAGCCATACAATATTGCTGAAGAGTTGATTTTACCAGCAGCTAAAGATATGGTCAGTTGTGTATTGGGAGATAAATTTTCGAAATTGTTGGATAAAATACCACTTTCAAATGATACAGTTGCACGTCGCATTCATGAAATGGCACATGATGTTGAACATCAACTCGCGCAACGATTACAAAATAATTATTACGCGATTCAAGTTGATGAATCAACAGATATTAGTGGATTACCGAATTTACTTGGGTTTATTAGATATGTGTATAAAAATAAATGTGAAGAAGATTTTTTATTTTGTAAGACCTTGGAGTCTACTACGAAAGGAGAAGATATTTTTAACACTATTCATGATTTTATTGAAAAACATGGCATTGATTGGACAAAGTGCGTTGGCATATCCACTGACGGTGCAAAGGCCATGACAGGAAGGATATCTGGACTAATATCCAGGATTAAAAATCTCGCTCCTGAAGTCAAAAGTGTGCATTGTGCGTTGCACAGAGAAGCATTGGCGAGCAAGAAAATACCTGATGATTTAAAAACAGCGCTTTCAGAGGTCGTCAAAATAATCAATTACATAAAAGCGCGACCGCTAAATTCAAGACTTTTCGCATTATTATGCCGAGACATGGGTAGTGAACATGTTTCACTATTGCGGGGGGGGGGGGGGGAGGCAATTAATGAGTTAGGGGTACGCTGTCACCTGGAAATTTTAACAGGGGTACGTGGTGCCAGAAGTTTGAGAAACCCTGGTGTAGAGCACGATTTGTACGTTTATCACGCGATCACTAGCCGCCTGACAGAAAATGCCGCGTCTCGAAACATTGCTGCATTTCATCGGACACCGTGGAACATGTACCAGTAATTCACTTGCCCGAATTACCTACCAACGCGACGCTATCTGGTGCACTCGCACTCAACATGCACGGAATGACTTGTACAAGTAAATGTCATACGCATTGAAAAAATTCGATAGTAAATATTGGCAACTTGGCAAGCGAAGGAAAAAGTTTCCCCATCCCCGATCTAGATGATAAACAAAACAATAGAATCAGAACAAAACAAAAGAAAGGCAGCATTTACTCCATTGGAGACAAGAAAGCGCGAAAAAAAAATTGAGGGCCCAGTCGTTCCAACGCCTCTAGACACGCCGGCCGAGGTGGTGTCACAATGTTTTCGTCGCAATGATTTGTGTAGATTCAGTGTAATACGTATAATAATGAAGAAAACCCAACGCATGGTCAAACTCTTGTGTGTATATCAAATACTAAACGCAAAAATCAGGAAAATGACAATAACACTACATTACACAATACAAAACAAATATAAATACTTGGAAATGTTGGTAAGTTATGCGCGTATATACGCTCTGAAAAACACCAGGCGTGAATTACTGCTATATTGATTCATTTGCGATGGTAAAAAGGAAACATAGCGAGGATAAAGCCAAAAAGATTAAGAGAAAAGTAGGAAAATGGAAGAAGCTACTTCTTCAGTCGCTTAGAATGGACGAGAGGGGGAGTAATACGAGCACGCCAACAAATTCAAATTACCGCCCATACTAAATTCGTCAAGCACGATCATATTATGATGAACACGTATGTTTCAGTTCAGTGCAAGTGGGTGTTGAAGAAAAAACTCGATAGTGACAATAAGGTGAGGTATCGTTCGAGGCTTGTGACTAAAGGATACTCCCAAAAGCAAGGTATCGAACTATCGATTATACTGAGACATTTTCACCTGTTGTACGTTATTCATACAACTCTCATTATTTGATCTTGCAGTTCAGTTAAAACTAAATGTGACAAATTAAGATGTGAAAACCGCATTTTTAAATGGAGATTTAGAAGAATTAATCTATATGCAGAAGCTAGAATGTTATGAAAGGCACTGTGGTTAAATTTCTAATAATTTGAATTTGACTTAAGAGATCGCCTCTTAAGAGAAAAATAAATTCTGGAGCAAAAAGCGCTAATGACCCGGTTGTCATTATGAGCTGAAACGGACTTATCGATTGAATCAAGATGTGATTGAAAATTTGTTTGGGATTTATAGACTTAATAGGAAATAGTCTGACTTCTCATTCGTCTCTATAAAGTCAGCAGACTCCCATCGTAGCGAGAAAAGTAAATTCTGGGCAAGAAATCGCTAATAACTTATCGATTGAATCAAGATGTGATTGAAAATTTTTTTGGGATTCACAGATTTGGAGGGATGTAGCAATTGTTTTATGATTATAAAGAGGATCAATAAGGATCGTAGGAATGCGCGATAAATGACCCATGCTTTGACGGTATGGTTTAAACACATAACGCTGTTCTTCAACTCTCAGCAGAAGAATTTTCAGAAGGCACTGGCGTTAAATAACTTATCGATCGAATCAAGATGTGATTGAAAATTTGTTTGGGATTTATAGACTTAATAGGAAACAGTCTGACTTCTTATTCGTCTCGATAAAGTCAGCAGACTGCCATCGTAGCGAGAAAAGTACATTCTGAACAAGAAATCGCTAATAACTTATCGATTGAATCAAGATGTGATTGAAATTTTTTTTGGGATTCACAGATTTGGAGGGATGTAGCGTTTGTTTTATGATTACAAAGAGGATCAATAAGGATCGTAGGAATCCGCGATAAATGACCAGTTCCCCGTGCTTTGACGGTATGGTTTAAACACATAACGCTGTTCTTCAACTCTCAGCAGAAGAATTTTCAGAAGGCACTGGCGTTAAATAACTTATCGATCGAATCAAGATGTGATTGAAAATTTTTTTGGGATTCACTGATGTGCACGACGGACGGCCTCAGAATAGAAAACATAATCGTATTGAAAAATCTTTGTAAATAGTTGTTTCGTTTTATAGTTTAAATTTCGATAATTTCGTAATACAGTCCACTTTCTCTTAGTTGGTTCTCAGTTATTAATGTATCAGGTCTCTAATTATTAATTAGTAGGCACATGTATGATGTTTGAAGTGTATAAATGATAGTTTATTTTAGAAAATAGCCCTTTGTTTTGTGTATACTACTTAAACATGTAATTTCACCTATAACAGATCGTATTTATAATATGTACATTAAAAGGATAATTATGTATAGATTTTAATAGTAATTTACTTTTAATTAGTAATAGTCTTAATTAGCCATAAAGGCAATAAATGTAAAATAGTGTGGCCAAATGAGCCCTATTTGGTGTAAAGATTCTTAATTTGTAATTAACCCTGTACCTGTGTACCTTCATTTACCTATCTAATGATAAGAAATAGATTTCCTAAAGCTAAATAAACATAGTTCCAAAGAATAGTGGAAGAGCTAATTAGATTCTGATAGGAAATAGGTCAAGGTCGAAATGAATAATTAGGTCACTGGATAGATATAAAAAACAGGCTCTCTATACGGTATTGCCGCCCAGGGGGGGTCTTAATTAGAAAGAGAGGGAAATAGATTTGCTGTCTCATTAGAGCGAGAGGTAACGAGGTTTTCTCACTCTAATGAAAGTGAATAAATATCGGGATGCCATCCGGGCACCGACAGTTCCACGTTTTCTCCTCAACAAGCAACAACACCAAGCTCTCTCCACTGCTCCGAGGAACCGGTCACAGACTCAACCCCGAGTTTTCATTTCTGCGCTCCCCGCCCCCTTCGTCTCGCTCTCCCGCTCGCGCTGCACCCCGCATCGCGCCGTATCGGCGTACGGTTTCTAGGGTCCGCACAGGGTTGCAACCCAATACCGTCCGGCACAACAGATTTGGAGGGATGTGTAGCGATTGTTTTATGATTATAAAGAGGATCAATAAGGATCGTAGGAATGCGCGATAAATGACCAGTTCCCCATGCTTTGACTGTATGGTTTAAACACATAATGCAGAACAGAATTTGACTTAAGAGATCTCTTAAGTCTGACTTCTCAGTCGTCTCGATGATGTTAGCAGACTTCCACTTCCACCGCAGCGAGAAAAATAAATTCTGGAGCAGGAAGCGCTAATGACCCGGTTGTCATAATGAGCTGAAACGGACTTATCGATTGAATCAAGATGTGATTGAAAATTTGTTTGGGATTTATAGACTTAATAGGAAATAGTCTGACTTCTCATTCGTCTCGATAAAGTCAGCAGACTCCCATCGTAGCGAGAAAAGTAAATTCTGGACAAGAAATCGCTAATAACTTATCGATTGAATCAAGATGTGATTGAAATTTTTTTTGGGATTCACAGATTAGGAGGGATGTAGCGATTTTATGATTATAAAGAGGATCAATAAGGATCGTAGGAATGCGCGATAAATGACTAGTTCCCCATGCTTTGACGGTATGGTTTAAATACATAACGCTGTTCTTCAACTCTCAGCAGAAGAATTTTCAGAAGGCACTGGCGTTAAATAACTTATCGATCGAATCAAGATGTGATTGAAAATTTGTTTGGGATTTATAGACTTAATAGGAAATAGTCTGACTTCTCATTCGTCTCGATAAAGTCAGCAGACTCCCATCGTAGCGAGAAAAGTAAATTCTGGACAAGAAATCGCTAATAACTTATCGATTGAATCAAGATGTGATTGAAATTTTTTTGGGATTTACTGATTTGGAGGGATGACGCGATTGTTTTATGATTATAAAGATCACTAAGGACCGTAGGAATCCGCGATAAATGACCAGTTCCCAATGCTTTGACGGTATGGTTTAAACACATAACGCTGTTCAACTCTCAGCGGAAGAATTTTCAGAAGGCACTGGCGTTAAGTAACTTATCGATCGAATCAAGATGTGATTGAAAATTTGTTTGGGATTTATAGACTTAAGAGGAAACAGTCTGTCTCTTAGTCGTCTCGATGATGTCAGCGGACTTCCACCGTAGCGAGAAAAGTAAATTATGGAGCAGGAAGCGCTATTAACTTACCGATTGAATCAAGATGTGATTGAACATTTTTTTGGGATTTACAGTCTTAGAGGAGGGATGTATTTTTTATTATTATACAGAGGATCACTAAGGATCGCAGGAATCCAAGATAAATGACCCAGCCCCCATGTTTTGACGGTATGGTTCAAACAATCAACGCTGTTCTTCAACCCTCAGCAGAAGAATTTGAATTAATTCCCGTAACATATCAAACCTAATAATTTAAGTAAATCATTCCATTAGTATTACCGTTTTATGCATACTAGTATAAATACATTCAGAAAATTCACAAAAGTATTCTTGATGAAAAAATAGAAAAAATATTCTTGAGCTGAACTTCTAACTTCTCTGATAATGAGCAATAACCAGTGTGTCAGTGTATTTTTTTCATCATCTCATGATAATGAAAATGACTTAGATTGTCCATATTTTGATAATATTTTAATTGAAACATGTGAAAAAGTTGAAGCAGCAAATAATGGGGAAGAAGATTTCGATCCATATTTTGACAAATACATCGGTTTGAAACGCCCAGCTAAAAGCAAGCGAGACATTATAAAGAAGGTCCGGCATTGTCCGATTCTTTAAGAAAAGCCATCAAGCTACCGAAAAGCTTCGGAAATATCAGAAAAATGAAAATGAGCTGAAACAGGACATGCCTACAAGATGGAACTCCACGTTCCACGTGATCAACTGATTCGTGGAACTGGAATCGGCAGGGTAAGCCACTACAGCAGTATTATGCAAATATTTGCCTATA